TGAGCTACGATCGCTCCAGCAGAGAAATCCCGAGAGTGACTAATATTTAGCAAAATACGGCTTCGGCTGTCTCGTGCGTAACAAAATCTGCGCAAAAACATGAAACTGGGCGAGTACAGTGGGTCATCGCAAAACTAAAGTGACCAACATGAAGTAAGGCTTCATTGTCAGGCTTTTTGTAAACGTTTGCCTTCTCTTTCTCGAATGAACTTTCGGTAGCGCAGGGAAATATGGAATCCACTTATCACTAAATTCCATGGGGGTAGAGTTTTGTTTAGTGTTAGGGTTAGGTGGGGCTGGCACGAATATGTGGCCTTGCGATACCTATTCGCCTGCCTTAAGCCTACCCATAATCCTATCCTTCATCCCAACTGCTCCAGAACTTAGCTTAAGGTTGATGACTGTGCCCTGTCCAACGTGTAAGCACTTGAATCACTTATTGCCTCTTCTCAGGTCGGCCGTTTACATATTTCCTTGAGGCGTCTTTGAAAGCCATTGTGTCAGGTTTCTCCGTGAAAACGAGTTTTGATTGTTTTAGGAGACGCACTGGACCCATAAGAACTGCATAGAGAAAGGACCAATCATGCTTACAGGCTAACAATTTGCAAAAACTGTGCACTATTGCCGGCTTGAGTAAAAAGTGGTAGTTCCGTGGGGGTAGAGTTTGGTTTAGTGTCATTGTTAACGCTAGGAGAATTTGTGCTTGGGTTCGACTTATAAATATGAGGGCACTAGTTAGCGCTAGATTTAAGGCACGATAATAGGTACCCGGCTGGACTTTAGCACAAGACCAGATGTAGCAAGAGAGGCCCTTAGTACCATGCCCTATGGGAAGCTCTTTGTAGAGTCAAAGTTGTGCTACAAATACAGCAATAAATCCTTTTTTGATGTTGGCCCAGTAAGCGTTGCAATGACCTACAGTTGGTGGGCTAAGTGTCAACCGAAATTTCGAAATGCGTTCTCGTTTCGAAAAAATTAATTAACAAAGATTGTAAAAGCAATCATTGTGCAGCATAATTCTATAATGATCTGGTTGCCTCAGGGTGAATTCTCTGCAAAAATGACCACATAAGTAGGGTTTCATTTTCAGGTTTTTTGTAAACGTTTGTCTTCTCTTCCTCGAATGAATCTTCGGTAGAGCAGGGTAATGTGGCCCCCGTTTACCGCAGGCAGCCTTGTGCTAAATTGCATGGGGGTAGAATTTGATTTAGTGTTAGGTTTAAAGCCAGAAGAGTTAATGTTTAGGTTAGGCATAAGGGCTAATGTTCAGGTTACGATACAAGTTAGGATAGATGAATAGGTACCCCATAGACATCAGCGCAGGGCTGCTTGTATTACGGCCTCAACTTCATAACCCAGTGATTGTTCCAGGTCTGGAGAGGATTAATTTGGTTTCTTCAGCAATTACAACCAGCACACTTATATGCGTTTTCACATGATGTTTGTTTAACCTGCCAGATGGTTTCCTCTTTCCATCACGCTTTTTCGACTTCGCGCGCTATTAGAGGAGACTTTTACCACTCCCGCTTAATTTGGATGGATCTATCTTGAAGTAACCTCCGCCGGTTCCTATAAGGTAATCCCTGTGGCTTTTAATGATCACTTGTCGCTAAGGGCATCCCCCAGTTTTGCATTTTTTTACCTGAATTTCTGAAACTATTTTCGCAGTGTTATTGCGTCTGTTGTATTGTAGCCAGAAGTTCTTTAATAATTATTAAGCGCTTTCGTTATGCATTGATCCTTTTTGACGTTTAAACGACTGAAATTCGGAAATATGCCTTTTTAAACCCATTTGGTAATGAGAAGAGTAAGTGGATGTTTTACTTTATAGAAGACGAAAAAGAAGAAGAGGAAGAGAAAGAAGAAGAAGAACGAAGTAATGTTTGACATTACTGACGCAGCCAATTCGCCATGGCAAAATAAATCACAAATAAAAGTCAAGTAGTTGTATGCAAAGGAAAAGTGATTGGGAATGCGCGGTTGTATTTTGAGTGGTTGAAAAATAGTTGCCCTAACTGCTAACCCTAACTCCCAACCCTAACAGTATCGTCTCCGTCAGGTGGGGCTACATAACAACTCCTAATCTACTTCGGACAAATATAACTTCGTTAATATGTGTTTTAGCAGATTTTGTATAGGTTATTTTGCCCCAACTCTGAAAACCCGGCGACCTCGAAAGGGATCAAATTCACATCAGCAACGGGTCGAATCCCACCAGGATCGCGAAGTTGGGTCACAATAAAACCGCCCTAGGCTCGTCGATATGTCCCCATTCAGTACCTGTTCATGACGGGCAGATGAATTTTACTCATAAAACTAGGGCACTCAGATGGTTTCAATTTTCAACAGGTGGAACAGACAGACGTCCCCTACGCGTATTTCCTTTCCCCTATGATTGACTGTTGTAGATGGAGGTTTCCTCTACGGCACTTTGACTGTCAAGCGTACAGCAGAGGAGTTTGAATGGGCATCAGAGACTTCCGGTGGCAGGAGCAATGGCTGAAATCAACGTCACGATAGCTGCTGGTTATAACAGATGCTTCAAATGATCATTTGGCCTCCTGTACTCGGCAGAAATAGATTTCGACCATAAGAATTGGCTCCCCACAGAGGGTTTGTGACTGTATGGGTAGTTAAGAATAAGTTTAGGGTTAAGCTAGTGGCTCGTGTAAACTGTCGAGTTTAGGGCAGGATGAGGGTCAAGATTAGGACAGCGGTTTAGTTTTATAGTAGGGTTATTCGTGGTTGTTTTGACAGATTTTGAGTGATTCATATTGACCCAACTGTGAAAAACGCGGCGCCTCGGTGGAATTCAAACCCACGACAGTAAGGGTAAGGCTTTAGTACAGTCAATGCTCTAACCACCAGAGTCACGAAGTCCCGCCGGACGACGCGAGGTTAATCACATTTGGGTCAAGTTACCCGCCCGGCGTCTTGAGGAGATAGCTGAGGACTGCACAAAGCATGACTCTGAAATGGAACACATACAGGAGAAAAAGAACTACATAATTCCTTACGTGCTTGTTTCTTTTTCCCACAGATGTACAGTGATTCCTCCTTGACCGCGTGAGTTCCGTTCCAGAACCTCACGCGAGAAGCGCAAATCCAGGAAGTAAAAGCATATATCTTTGTGGTTATTTTTACAAATTTTGAACATTTATAAACCTTTTCACATCTCTAAGGGTATTTCTTCAACAGTTATAAGGCATAAGTCCTTTACGTTCTATTAGATGTTTGGCATGGTTTGTTATGCTGTGAGCATTCTTCTTATAGGCTACGCAGAAATATACGCATTACGTATCATTGAGGAGTTTTATTTAACACGCAATTCAGTTTATTACACATTGTAGTAATGCGCATTTGGACAAAAATCAATTTTCAACTCCGGAAATATATACTGATCCACTCGTTTAATTTACTTACCCACTTATAGTACATGTACAATGATTAATCATGTAATATTAATATCACACTGATTAAGTACGAACATTGTACCCACGCATTATTCGCATTCTGACGATGAATACATTTTCAGCTGTTCCCGACTGGTGACACCGCCAGTTGTAAAAGGTAAATTATAAATAAAGATTAGGTTTTTCGACCGGGTAAAATAAATGAAAAATATGCAAATGTAGGTGCAAATAAAATCTAAATGCTACTTTAAGGACATCGAAATTCTCCGATATTACGTGTGTTACAACCACCAAAATAGACAGACCGCCTGCCAATATATTATTACAAATGAGGAAGTTCACACAACTAGGGAACAGGACGCAGATGGAGGATCGAAAGTGCAGCATTCTGCAAGTTCAAGCACTACAACAGATAAAAATCCATGCCTCTTGCCTAGATGCGTAATGTCCGCAACCCAGTAAAAAATCATTTTGTGGGTACAGGAAAACATCAGTTATTCACAGAACTGGCGGACTCGACCGTTTCAACTCAGCCGATGGAGAAGCCGGCAGAAAATTCAGGGCTAAGTGGTCGGAAGTCGTTTGATGTCGCGCTTTCCCTGCTTTTGCAAAGGTAAAATTTGCTATAAATATGAAATAGTCCTGCTTGTTTGGCCATTTGTAACTAATGTGACAGACGCGACGATGTGAATCAAAAACCATACGACAACGTAGGCGTATCAAACCTTTGATCTCAACGCTGACCATCTAGGTCTCAGATACTTCTTTGTACAGCAAACCTTTTGGGTGATTTGTGCGTCAACAGAAATATGAAACATCTGAGTGTCCTTAAGCTGTTGGATTTTTTTTGGCATCCGGAAGAATTTTTTCAGTTAAAATGAATCACCATTGCCGCAAAAACGGCAAGACAAGTATTTATAATACAGACAAAGGTTAATAAATAATAAAAGTATACAAGAACACCGGAAGAGCACCCATGCAACACGAAAATGATAACCCGATCCTTGGTACGTTCTTCTAGGTCGAACAGAGAGGAGCCTACGATTCTGGCTGCATAACTTGAGGGCGAGAGAAGTAGAAGTTGAGGAATCGACACCGCTATCTGAAATTCCAAATCACTGGATCTTCTGATCATTGTGAGAGCCTTTACTGTGCAAAGAACTTACTGACCCTCCTATGGGCATACGACTTGGCTTCTGGGTGTTTACTGACTTGTTTGCTGCTTTAAATGCCCTGCTTACGCATCGCTACCTGATTATTGTATGAATTATGAATTATGAAGAAGGGATTTGACGGGATTATTATAGCAACCGCAGTGATAATTTGCCTGTGTGATCAGCCATTGCTTTGGGGGGGGGGAGGCTGTGAGTGTGAAATGGCAGTCTGCGCACCTCTTATCAGTCTTGTTCTCTTTATGACAACGTTAGGCATCTTAATTATGTCTCCATATAAGTGCTCGGAAACTTGGCTCCCGTTACCGTGTTCTGGGCAGGGAAATCCGGCACGTGGGGTAGGCGCGAGCAAGCAAAAATGCCAGTGACAGCGAGCCAATTCGCCGAGTAATCATCACGACAACATCCAAAACGGATGATGAAATCGCGGCCCCTTGAGGCTAGAACTGCTCTTTCTCATCCTCTACCTGATACCTCGTTCTCCGTTGTTGCTGATGCCTCCAAATTTGCCATAGGCGCTTCTCTCCAGCAACAAACCCCGACGAAAATCCAACTCCTATCCTTCTACTCTGCCAAACTGACACCCTCTCAGGCTCGTTATAGCACTTTTGGTAGCGAACTCCTTGCTATTTATCTCGCCATTAAGAATGTTCGCAGCCATCTTGAAAGCAGATATTTTTGTATGCATATTGACCATAAACCTCATACTTATGCTTTTTCGACTTCCTCTGACATGCATTTATCCCATAGGGCCTACCATCTTGATTTTATCTCTTAATATACCACGGACATCCAATTTTTCAAAAGACCTGTCGAGATGGAATGGTCGATAAGACAGAGATTCCCGAATCAGAAGGCAGGTAAGACGGATTGGATTAAACAACTTTTACTGTTGCGGAAATGTGTACACAACGGCGCTGCAATCAGTTGCTGCGAGCGGTCCCCCAGGCAAGTTGTGTTGTGTCCGCGGTTGAGATGTCTATACTCCAGCGCGTGTGTGCGCCTTTAGCTCTGCCTCAGTGTCGCCAGCCAATCAGAGAGGGGGCAATGTTGATTGGCCCCGAGCGCTCGCGGGGCCAGTGACAAGCCTCTCGCGTCCCGGCAGCGAATCGACAGGGAGTTTGGGGCGAACAAGAGGGCTGCGCAGCAAAGCGGCGAGGAGCAGGGAGGCGCGGACTCTCCCAGACCCTTTTATCAGGCCGTCGACTATCTAACCCGACCTGGAATCAGTACCCCTGCCCGTCCTTCCATCGACGTGGGGCGCGTTGCCGAGCAGCAGCAGCAGCAGCAGCAGCAGCAGCAGCAGCAGCAGCAGCAGCAGCAGCAGCAGCAGCAGCAGCAGCAGCCGAATTTTCTTGAACAATTGGAACGCACTATCCCTCGGATTAAAGCCGTCCCTCTGATCGCTACCTCCAACACAGTCTTATTAGACACGTCGCGCGGTTTCTTTCACCATAGGTGAGAAGCGACGAGATGCTTTATCGCGTTGCACAATCTCGCTCATCCTGGCATTCGAGTTACTCAGCGCCTCTTTGGGGACCGTTTCGTCTGGCCCAGCATAAACACTGATATTCGCCAATGGACTCCCTCATGTTTGGCTTTGACAGAAGGTCAAAATCGGACGACACAATAAATAGTGCCTTTTACTGAACCCGACGCTTATTTTGCACATGTCACCAACGATCTGGCGGCTCCTATCCCAACCTCCCGCGGTTGTGGCCGTTTGCTCACTGCAGCTAGCCGATTTACGTGATCGTCCATTGCAATTGGGGATCCAAACATCAGTTCGGATACTGCCAGCCGTGTCCTTTGAAACAATGAATTTCCCCTTTTGCTGTCCCCAACAACCGAGGCCAGCAATCTGAGTTTAGACTCTCTAATACCCCTACCGACTTCCTCGGATGCTCTTGCAAACGCACAACAGTCTACCATCCTTTAAACAACTGTCTACTTGAGCGTTTCCAATGGTTTGGTCGTCGTTGCCGACGATGTCCTCCATGTGTTATGCAGCGAGCTGAGGGCAGGCATGGTGAATTGCGCGCGATTTAGTTTATAGCGAGTGTAGGCTTGCGCAGCATCTACCGCACTCTCTCCTCCTACTTCCTACCTGTACCAGGTGTCAAGACAGAGTTAAAAAGATGGGAGGCGGGGGGGGAGGGGGAAGGTGGGTGGCATGGTCGAGGCCGTACCATGTCGCTCCATCCCACATCCCCTGGTCCACATAGAAATGACCAGGATTTTAACCAGCAACACAAATGGGGGGAGGGTAGCAGGGGTCCCAATATGCTCGACGTTAGCTGGCAACTGCGTCTGCCACCGCACCCCGATATGTTGCCATTTGTTTCCGTGCACATTCCGATAACGCCTGTCAGGATCCGATATGGCCCCCGTGTTGGTCCAGCGTATGTTACACGTGGCCTGTTTGGGGGCCCCTTTGAGTGTCACCACCGTCAACTGAAAACTTCGCTACGGGCATATGACAATTCCACTCAGTGGAGCTACCATCTGCCTTTGGTCATCTTCGGTATCCACACAGCGTTCAAACCCGACTTGGAGTGCTCCATCGCAGATCTTGTTTACTGGACTACCCTACGGAGGCCGGGCGATTTTTTCGGGTCGCCTAAAGCTTAGCCGATCTGAATGCTGCTTATTCCCAACGGTTGCGCCAGGCAATGGCTACTCTCCTAGCCATACCTCCACGCGTTCTGACGAGTAGGTTATATATTGACTCGAACTTGCTAACATGTTCTTTTGTACTTTTCCTCGTATGTAATGTTGGTAAACCAGTACAACAACCTACAACGTACCCATTCGAATCCTGTCGCGCAAGGCCAAGCACTTCAAAATCGCCTGTGGAGGGTCTCAGTCTATCAGTTGGAGGTAGTTTATACCGACTCTTATTCGCCAAACCCAATAGATCAGCCTTCTTCACTTGCCGCGGTGCCTTCTCCAATTTCCTCACCTCCGCTTACACCTCATGACCCTGTTCATGTCCATATCCCTCCTCCCCCCCTCCCTGCGCGCAGTGATAGTCATGTCAGTTTCCCTGATCGTTACCAACTTGAACATTACGCCTAACGCTTCCATATTTAACATCCATTTAGCATATCCGAACTCCGTTCTCCCTGACCGGGAAGTATTGTGCTGTGACAAAATGATCCTGTAAAACTTAGACGCAAGCTGTCGATAACAAGTGCTAACATCGGGCTGCATTCTCGTGGCTACATTGTTTCTCCTCATTCTTCTCACGTGTACGCCCGCGTATATCCACCCTTTATGTCCAAGTATAGACCGGTCTATATAGTACACTATTGTTATACCAGGTGTTGTCCTCACCGCCGCCAGTAACAGTAGTCAACGGTAATTCAGAATGACTAGCAAGTCGATCAAAAGTGAAAAAGTTCCAACTACCAAAGATGACCGCACCTAAAAAACCTACTACATTAGAAAGGCTCTGTTTTAAAGTTGGTTCATGTGCTCACGAACCTCGCTGGCATCTCAGAGCGACGCGGGTAAGTCTTCCGAAGCAGGGTTTCCGAACGGACGGCCAATTTTTGCCTCAATTTGTCCCGACTTTTTGTGCTACTTGAGGACTTGCTTACTTGGTCGCATTGCAGCCTGACAGGTTGTTCGCAGCCTCCACCAAATGGGGACGTCTCCCGTTAGTAGCCAGCCGGCGATCCGATTTACGAGCGACTACGACAGAGGACATAAATACTGACTGATTAAGGTGCGATAATGAAGTCCCGTTTGTCGCAGCTGCTGACTGCTTGGTTCGGTCTCACTCACTGGCACATGTGTGTTGAGCGCACATGGAGATAATTTCATGTTCAGTCTTAACTGCTGATCGGCGGAAGCGTTTATCAGTCCTTACTTTCATTATCGGTTCTTCAAGGGCTTCCACCTCTTAACAAGGCTACGAAATATCCGTTTTCCACAGCTCTTTCTTCGGAGACTTCCGACATCTGGATGTGTTGTGTTGGAAAGACAGAAACTTTCTGTGTTGGTAGAGGGGCACTCGCCAAGCGTTCTTACGGAATTCGCTCGTCCCGTTGTGTCTTATGGACTCTCTCTCTCAAGCCCAACCAGCAGCCGCAGTGAGAGAGAGAGCCCGTTATGCACAACGGAACGAGTGGGTTCCGTAAGAACGATCGGTGAGCTCCCCTCTACCATTGTACATCTCCGACCGAATCTGACAGGACAACGAGCCCGTGGCTCAGTGGTTAGAGGCGTTGGACTTCTAACTAACAGGTCGCGAGTTCGAGCCCCAGGTGTTCCACGCTTCGGGGTTGGGTATGACTGGCTGACAACGGCTAATAAGCCAGAAACGGCCATTCCAGTCTCCCTTGTCTTTTTCGATAATAACATTTTACTTTGTGTGTTAGCAGCAGCAGCAGCAGCAGCAGCAGCAGCAGCAGCAGCAGCAGCAGCAGCAGCAGCAGCAGCAGCAGCAGCAGCAGCAGCAGCAGCAGCAGCAGCAGCAGCAGCAGCAGCAGCAGCAGCAGCAGCAGCAGCAGCAGCAGCAGCAGCAGCAGCAGCAGTAGCAGCAGCAGCAGCAGCAGCAGCAGCAACAGCAGCAGCAGCAGCAGCGTGTTCTTTTATTTAACACTTTTGCAGACCATTTTTGACTCATCGCCTTTGCTGACATCTGCAGGCTTCAGGTTCCGCCCAAAAAGAGCGTTCACTTCTTCCCCCCCGTCCGGCTGTTTTGGGTGTCCTAAGACGCGCGGCACTTTATCACCACAAAAAAGGAGTACGTGTTCAGGCAGCATGTACGCTACCGTCCTTGCCTTGCAGTTTTGACCCATCTTCTTAACCCCGCCGCATTGTATGGCTGTTCCGCCTCCCACACGTCGACCGCCGCTGATGACGCGTGTCCTCGACCGCAAATGCGCGCTTCGCGCGGTATATGACCCTTTCAAATTTCCTTTTCGCTGATTGGTCCAGACTCTGACGTTCTGCGTAGCCTATCCAGGCACTTCTTACAGGTGGACATTTTCTCTGCTTACCTCTGAGCAGGCTGCGCACTCCGTCCCAGTCGTAGAGGCTGTTTGTCACAATCTTTTTTCCCCACCTATTTTGACGTAGGAATTCGCTATTGTCGTCGACCACATGGCACACATGCGCCCCACGCACTCCATGATGAGTTCGTGCGTTCGAAAAAAACACTTGCTTAGAAGAACTAGGAAGAAGTGTATATTGTTATAGCCAGAATACAAGTACTCTAGATGATAATACTCACGTCTATTAAAATGTACGCCTTTATGGAAGTGTTGACTAATTTTTACGAGGGCAGCACAAAGTAAGAAGGAGTGTGAAGATGTTTCCGGCATTTAACTTGATCAGAAGAATTTTTAAAGATCTGTTTAGACCATAAAAAGCACAAAATTAAAGTAAATGTGGGGCAATATTTGTGCCCCGAGAAGGTGAGAATTGCTTACTGTAGACGCATGTCATGGACGTCTTCTTGGCTTTATTGTGCAGTGACGATTCTTCTTCAACAGGTGGGTTATAATTATCGGTTTTATCCAAAACTGTCGAAGGAGTATTTCTTAATAAGTCAAAAAGCCTAGGTGATCCTTCTTCCTTAAGCAGTTTGAACTGCGGATAAACGAACAATTGTGTCATGGCTGTTGACCGAATGACCGTACAATTTAGACTAAACGATTTCAGGTCTGCGGTTCATGGAATTCAGGCTAAATCGCTCCTCCTTTGTACCACTAAACACACACACACACCGCTTTAAATTCAGATGTCATCCCGCCCTACTGCATATTTCCTGGAACATCTGCCGTGTAAAAACCTAATCAAATCATTCACTATCCGAAGGCGTGATCCCAGTTACGTCCAAATATATTCGACAAGAAACCGAAAAATAGTACAGTGATTACTATTACTTTACTGTCAGTGATGAATGGCGTCTGTACGAGATAGAAGAACCGGATGAATGCAGGTAGTGTTTCGGTTATAGATTTGTCATATTCCAACAGACGGCTTGCCATAGGTAACAAACGACCCAACATCGGCAACAATACAACTACGCATCACGTCCGCTGTCCTCAGTTGGGATAATGTGTCAGAGTCTTGCAAGAAAGTGACGGCCGACAAACGCCCTCTAAAACCACTACCTGCGCAGCCTGGCATACATAGCTGGAAGAGTAGTGAAAGAGGTTTTGTAGCTGATGTGCCGTACGTCGAAGAATACTATCGCTCCTTAGATAGCCGTGACGATTTCTTAGACCTTTTTGACTTCTGAAACAATCGAACATTTCGGTTGGGCTTGGATTTATGGTGGGGGAAAGCGGGAAGGTGCAAACACACGAGGCGAGCATCTTAAAAGCACCAACCAAGCGAGAGGAAATCAGCACGTGAAAAATTGCGTGCAGTGACCCCTCAGCATCCCATTTATTGCAACAACAGCAGGTCGACGTATGAAAAACAGAAGTGCGTAATGCAGAATGCAACTCGATTTGTGAGAGATAGAGCCACTTTATCGGGAAATGCCGCTGTGTTTCTGCGTGTAACATCGTTATCAGCCTTTCGTAGACGCCCTGAATAGTTGCGAAAATTGTAAAAATCCTTTCTATCCCTTCTCCGTAACTTGAATCATATAGGATATCTCATTTGCTTCGGCGTCCTCGACATCTTACCCAGACTTTTCTGTAAGATCTTAAAACATATCTGAAATAAATGCAGTCCCAGATTGCCACTTTCAGAATTTGAGTCCGCTGTTTATTTTTCAAATGGTTAACAAGGATAACTTCATAGTTTTCGTAGGACGGGCAGACCTAATCATTCTACTTGTCCTACACTCCATTCAGAAAGTTGCCCCAACTTTTGGTGGTCGAGTTTTCAACCCCCTGAGGATATGTCTGACGCATGAAACGAAATCTGCACCCCAACCTCGCAGGACGATCCGTAAGAGCCTTCCAACTTGCCTCAAAAACCCTGACGTAGTACCCGGGCTCATCTCTAAGGAGAGGGAGCAAATATTTTGTCGAGAATGAACGAAGACTTCCAATGCTGATGGAAGGACAAACCGACCCTTACATTCAAGCCGCTGCTCACATGGACGAGTAAAACACTTTTCCTTTGATTGTAACAGCTTGAAGATTTTTTGGATGACGCACAGCAGCAATAGAACAGCCCAGACTGCAGGCCTAGGCCTCAAATACAGACTCGACCAATCAGAACGCGGAGTTCCCATGGACTAGCGAGTCATGCGTCTCTTCCGATTTTCTCACAAATACATTTGATCGCCGTCAACTTTAAGAGGAAGACTAATGTCGCGGCTTCATTTACTTAGGCATTTTTTAAGCTCGTTGTTTCTTTTGATTAAGGACGCCTGAGCTTCAAACCACTGGAAGCAAAAGTACCAGGTGAGTACTCTCAAGATTTATCTGATACATATAGCGCATCCAGGCCTTTACTGAAAAGTGTGGCCAATCTTGATCGTACCCACTGTAAAGAAAGGCGTCAGTGTGAATGCACTAGAACCAGTTGTAAAATCTTATTTTTGTCAGTTGTCATGCAGTGCCCATTCTTTAGAGATCCATTAATAGCATTTAATTACATATTATTACTTTGTGAAAATACCGGTCCACAACATCGCCCAGCGTAAAATCCGGCATGCCAAACATTACAGAGGGGATGTCATATACGGACGGGAACTGGAACACCCTCCTTCCTGTTATACAGATGGTCTTGCGCTACATCCCAGACAGGTCACTCATCCTCGTGCCCTTACTCCAGCAATAACCCCAACGTAAACCCTATGAGAAACGCTAATCTTGGCCTTAGCCATAACCTGTACCTCAACTCTACCTTTGCTCTAAACGTAACTCTAAACTTACTCTAACTTCAACAATAATTTTGCCGGACTTTAGCACAAAGCCACCTGTATTGAGGGGCGTCCAAATTCCCCTGTCTTGTCTGTGGGGGACAATTATCTGGTGTTTTTTGCGATACCAGAACAACCTGTCCTGTGCCTGTCCGTATTTTAATAACGGACGTTAAATCATAATTGTATGTTTACAGGAGTCTGACGCCATCCAAACGAAGGAAGCTAAACAAGAAATGTGTCTTCTTCTAGTGGCATGGTCGGAGAATTAACGTGAAAAATGGGTTTTAGAGAGCTGTTGATAATTATAGTCTTGCGGACCGGCATTACTCTTTTCATTATGAGAAAGACCGAGGAGATTGTGATACTTCGGCTAAAAAATGTTTTTTTTAAAAACATTTTTTAGTGGAATTCACGGCGTCTATCATGTCTTTATTTTCTCCAAAGGAAGCACTGTTGATATTCCGATTGGCATTTACCGACCCTATGTCCGGTTCATTAGATGCGTTCTTCAGTTAAATACCGATTTTTGCCCGACCCTCCATTTAAATTGGACTCATTTCCGTTCCAAATAGTTAAATAAATTACGCTGTCGCCTTGGAATATGCTAATTACGCGTCACCTTTAAAGTTAACTTGCAGTTTGTTGTGATGGGGGATTTATCCATGGAAGACGCATTTTGAGCGTAGGGTAGGTTTTAGATGCAGAATATCCCTTCAATATAGCCATCACCTTGACTTCCTCGCCACACATGTCCGGGCTATTTGGTCACAGTTTCCTCAAACCCTCTAGACGACAGAATTTCGATAAATACATTTTTCGAGGCAGCGAGGAAAATAACAGTGTCCTCTGTAGAAGTGACAGTTGCTCGTAGGTCATCGGAAAAATTATGCTTAGTGCCAAATAAGCGGACGAGAAGACCAGGTTAATAAAAAGTCTATGTCATGGCGGAAACTTTTCACATATAACGCCTTATTTAGAAGAGCATCCATTAAAGCACTCTTGTCAGGCACTACAGTTCTAGAGCTCTGACGTGAGGGGGCGGGGGCGCTTTTATGACCACGATAAACGGTTGTGCTCGTAAATACATTTTAGCGCGTAATGATGGGCAGGTGGGCAAACTCTAATGGAAGGCAAAAAAAACAGGCTGCAGGCTCTTTAAAAGGGCGCGCGAGAGAGTAAATCCATTAAATGAGCGTTGAAATGGAGAAGGCTGCGTTTATTTCGTTTGGCCGCTGAGGGCTTGACCGCCTCGAACAGTCTAACAACACTCCGTTGCAGATCATGTAGGCGTGCCGCGTCAATTTCGGCAGGATGGGGCAGTTCGATCCGTCGTCGTTGGCAAATTAAATGTTCCAACCAATCATGTAGATATGGAGCCTTAGGCAGCCATAAATGCGGACCAGGGATTGGCTAACCTTTTAGCCAAACAGAGGCCGATTTTTCCCCATTCGTCTGTGATAACGAAAATGTGCTAACTTTACTACAAAACAGAAAGGAGACAGCTGTAATTACCTCCCTGGTCTCGGACATGTATCCACATAGTGCCCTAATATACTCTGGCATCCGAGGCACAGGATGGTAAGTGAAATTAATAAGACCTTCTACACTACCTTCATGCACTGTTTAGGAGGAAAAAATAGGCGAAATGTCAGCGTTGTCCTGTACATAGATAGGTTTTATGCGGTTCAGCTAGGCAATGCATCGTTTTGGAGGGCAAACATATCTCTTTTACTGTGGCTAATTGTCCTTGCTGTTACCGGCAAAGACTGATTTGAAAACGCTGCATAAACCGTAAATCTTCATGATTTCAAACGCAATGGTATAAACTGGCGTTCTTCAGTTTATAATGTACTGAGAAATAACCAACTTATATAACAAGTAAAGACCTCGATTCAATCTTCTATCAAACTGGGTGATTTTTGCTGGAAATTTCCCCCTGATAATATTACTTTTCATAAGGTTCTTAAAAACACTTACGCTTATTTTAAGAGAAGCCAATAGTTTCATCAATGGCTTTTATTGCTTTCAGACATATTTATGCAACGGTTCCGGTTGATAGTGGTCGTCTTAAAGCCTTTCACGTGGTCTAAGGGTCATAGGAGGATATCCAGAGCATTAACTGGACCTGTGAACGCAGTACGCATCTAAAATCGTTTCAGAGCAATTTCGAAGTTGGAATAAATGCAGGCAAAGGGGGCGAACGGGCGATCACCAGAACGGTAGGTGCACTAGCCTGAGTTTCCGGACCAGTACAAGAGCCCAGTGTGGGTGACTGTGGGGGTGCAACACTAAAGGAAACAAAGTTTGTGGCCAAACGGTGAGGGCGAGGTAGGGGGTGGGTAAGGCGTGGTGTCCGCAACTGGGCAGGGTCCACGCCGTCGAACTCACGGTAGTCTGGGTGTGGTGGCGGCACGTGCCCTTGGCTAGAAACTGGACAGTGGCACTTGGCTCCCTGGGTGCAGCGCGAGATAATGGGGGGAGGGGGGGATAAATCAACGTGTTTGCTTATGGATTCGGTGTCAGACACCCAGGGCTCCAGCCGTTCTCGCTTAGTCTTGTTGCTGGCTCGCACCATCACCCGTGTGCTCGCGAAGTTGAATTCGTGATCCTCCTGTAGGGTGTGGGTAGCGACTTGAGACAATGGGTCACCCCTTCAAACGGTCTGTTTGTGCTTGAGTAGTCTGGTATGACCTGCATATTGACAGTGACAGTAGTAACATGAGATTTAATCAACTACATTCGGCCGCTTACTTGCGTCCAGACCACCATTCATGTGCATGATTCTGGTACGCATGGTAGTGATCGGACGATGGGCGATGCTTAAGCTAAACTCAGCGGCAATGTGTTTCGTTTTCTTCTGGCTCATTTTTTACATACTGCAGAAGGTGCCAGAATGCTGGGGGGCTCTCTTGCGCTTGCCCTTCATGTACGAACATGGAGCCAACGAACGCCAAAGGTGCTTGGGCAGCGCTCCCAACTTATTGGTCTCGAAGTTGTCGTAGTCCCTGTACTCAACCTCCCTCCCCCTATTGTTTACTGCAGCGTTGTATTCTTTTGAAGAGCGCCCTAACACGGCCGCATTTGTTCATCACCCGGTGGTTCTGTGGATGGCAAGAATATCCAGGAAGGGCAACTGTTCGGTATTGTCTTTTGTCTTCATGAGACCAACTCAGTTAAGATACCGTTAGGCAGGTCCTGGAAGCCTAATAGCCTGCCCTTCCCAGTTTTATGCAACGCGCCGTGCATGGTGACTAAAAATGACCTTTTCCAGACCATGAAGGACCGATTTTGCGATTAGGCTAGATGTTGATGAACCCGTCGGTGTTCCTCTGATTAACTCGTGCGTTTTGTCATTGAGAATGGGAAGACGGTTGTTGGCGGAGTGCAAATTGTTGCGTTAAATGCTCAGTTTTAAGAGGCCTTCTTGTTTGGGGACGCTCGCAGATCGCGATACGGAACTCATTCGTCCATTTGTACTTTGGGGATTTCTTCCGAGCCCTGACAGCAACCACACACAGGGACGCGTAAAATAAGCAGAAGGACGTTACTGACAAAGACAAGGAGACACCGAAATGACCATTTCTTTTGTCAACAGTGCTAGGTTGCCTACATTACTCGTCGCTGTGCGGCTATTGGCAGGGCTCGAGAGGGAGAAAGAGCCCCAAGGCACAAGGGGATGAGCGAATTTCGTAACGCGATTAGTGTGCGTCCCCGTCTACCACTGTCAGCGTACCCGACCGCAACCGATAGGACAGCATACGCGTGGGTCAGTGGCTAGGGCGTTGGACTTCTAACCGCCAGGTCGCAGGATCAAGCCTCAGGCAATTTACACTTCGGGCTTGGGTACGACTAACTGACGGTGGTTAATGAGCCAGGAATGGCAATTCCAGTCTCTCTGATCTTTGTCGGTAATACTAGTCTGCCATCTTGTTCATTCATACTACTCTTGGAGCCGTTTGCATAGTTCATCTCGCACTAGGCTCTGATGTCGCTAGTTAGTAAAGGGCGAATTGGATCATACTTGATCCAAATCAGACATTTTTACTTGGATGTCAGCGAGAGATTGGCAGGCCTGAATGATAAAAGTAATTGAGCTGTCTCGGAGAAAGTTTAGGTTTCGAGACACCCCTTTGGGAGCCTTATAAGTGGCGTTGTCATCTAAGACAACGGTTGAACGAAGAATAGCGTTGGGGATTTAAGGCAAGGCGTAGAACTAGGTCAGCACTATGCCAGTTTTCTTATCTGCAGCTATTTGTATAGTGAGATCCCATTGTCGTGTCTGAGTCCCTTTGGGAGTCCAGTTATATGAGCAATCATCGTCGAGGAAGGCGGCCTTCGATGCTCAGCATGCTTTACCCCATCGGTTACGTTGGTTCTCACTAAGATGGCCATAAGTGCCGTCTGTTGGTATTGGATCCGCACCATTAAAATCAACTTCCTGACTGAGATGTCTCAGTACTTGGTTAGCTTAATTGCTTGCATGATGGGCTGAGCACCACATTTTCGCTTTGGTGACAGTCGTTGAGTATTAATCGCGTCTTCTCTGAGGATGAACTTCTATACAAATCTGAAGGCTCAGGCTACTACACCTATCGTTCCGGTGAGTGCTTGTTCATCTCCCTCGTAACAAGGACCTGGGTCTTGCGTAGTCGCCTCTAACTGTGATGACTACATGTATATACAAGACTGTTTTTGGGCTCTCTAAGTCTACTTTTGCATCTAAACAGACACGGAAAACAGGAAAGACTCTATTAACCCCCTGGTAATGAAAGTCGAGACTGCATTTGAATCCTCAGAAAAACGCAGGCAAACACCTTCTGGAAAAAAGCCAGCAGTTGTGGCATCGCATTTTTGTGGCACATGAACATGAAGTAAACAAAAGGGAATTTACCGTATCTACTCAGTCTTGAGCACATAGTAGGAAGGTTTTTGGTGTATTGGCCTCCACCGGGAATTGTATGTTGCGCGAAATACACCAAGATATACGGGGGAGTTCCTGAGAAGATACTTCCTGCTTTTTAATTTATTTACTATAAAGTCTTCCTAACTCATAAAATACAGCCTCTTAGAAAGCCCAGTTCAGGGATCCGTACAAGACATTTTGACGTATTTGCCCACTCGCAGGAGCAGATTTTCTACTAAAACTATGGGCAGAATTCTATCCTAAAATAAACCTAAGGTACCGCTAGTGATCATTCGCCGATCCCCGCACACAGACAGAGGGTTTTTCTCAAACAAAGCGACTTAGTTTCTTTGCTCCATACTTTGTAATGCGGTTTCCAGATTTTTTTCATAAAAGGCGACTAAAACTTTTGAGTCGGAAAAAAGTAGGCAGGCGAAATCTGCCGCCTGCGTTAGCAGCTACGTGAAAACTGATCACGCAATTATGATTGTTTTACTTTTAGGTGGTTCAGCCTTAAAATAATGTTTTGTTTCAAGAAAAACAAAGTCTGGATTTGAATGAACGCCGCTCATTCATCCAGAGTCAATGCTGAAGCATGACATCAATTAATTGTTGCAGTTATATAATTCCCATTGTACACAAAAATAATAAAAAATGTGAAATCGTTTTAGAAGAAATATTTAGCGCAAAGAACTTTTTGTGTGGCCGTGTGAAAGGACTTTGGGACATTCTCCCCAGCCAGACTAGAAAGTTCTATCCGTAGCAGTTCTCTCAGCATAACAGAATTTTTGATAATTTCAACAGAGGACTCTATTTTGCCACATAAAATTGTTTCTCCCCACAGAATCGCACGGTACTTTCCATCGGAAAGGAAATACTGATAATTTATCTGTTGGAGACATTAAGTTTTTAACCACTATTTCCATTATCCTGTGTTTGGCTCATTACACGATTCAAATAATAACAAATCTCTGGTATTTCCGCGATTTTTAAATACTTGCCATATGGTAGCTTTTGAATCATTTTTGTATACAACGCCTTCGGCCGGACTTTCTAATGTATACGCCCAGGGAAACTGGTATACTACCATGTCTCCTAATAATTGACTGCGTTCAGGCATATTTTATTAACGTGAGATCAAGGCAAAATGTAGGCCTTCGAAATAAGCCGAATGTGCTCTACTTAATAGACACTAACTGATGAGCAGCATATACGCAAAAGTAACCTACTAATATCGATGGAAGAATATGAATGAGACCTGTTGAGGTACCCTTTTTTGAAAGTTAACAAGCAAACTGAGAAGTTATTCTTGAGAAAAGAATTGTTATAGAAAATTAGAATCCATTCACTGTTTCCATTAAAATGAAAATGATATTTGCTGGAAAGCCCAACCGTACTTAGGATTTCCATGAGAAATTAGACGTCGCCTTGAGTGGTTAACATATGATTTACATGTGTTGACAACCCGCCAATGATATCGCACTAAGGCCTGCAAAACTCACCATTTGCTATACTTCATAGTCAAGTGTTACAAAAAGCTCACTTGTTTGTGCTGCCAATGTCCATATACTGCCTGTGTTTAAACCTGTCACAACATGGTTGGATACCAGTGTCGCAACACTCCGTTACTGATGCTAGTATTATTGCAGTTAGTTACCCATACTGTAAGCGTTGGTAGAGTTGCACTGGCAGCCCGTGGTGGCGGTGGTAGTAGTATTAGTACTAATAGTAGGATTATTAGTAGTATTCGCCGTATCAGTGGTGGTAGACGGGGGAAAAAGTTTTCTTCAGTGTTGCGACACTGTATTCCCGCCAGTGGTAGTAGTATTAGTAGTAACAGCGGAAGTAGTGGTAATAGTAGCAGTAGTAGTGGTGGTAGTAGTAGTAGTAGTAGTCCGCCCGTAAGACAGGCTGGTGCGGGAATAGACAATTCTAAGTGTTGCAACACTGTATTCCCGCCCACAACATTAATTTTTCCTCATTATTTTCACGGAAAATGACCTAATTTCAAAGGATTACATAAGCGGCAGCGTGCGTTGACTTCTGGCTTTAAATTCACAATCAGATTACTCGAAAATTTCGCCGTTGACTTAATATTTGCTCACCAGGAGTATTATGTTGATTCCGCAATCGATGAAATGATATCACCATACTATTTAAAAAGGTAGCAAATGTGCCAAAATAAAAACGAGGTTTCTCAACAATGTCAGTTACCACCTGCGACCTAGTGTAGCTGAATACAATAATGTCAGACAAACCTATGCGACTAAATACAGACAATCCATAAAAGTGTGTGCTTGAATGTAAGTTACCGGGTGTTTATGGGACTTATGCAACATCATTCCGCTTTCTGAATTCAAAACAAAACCGAAACTTTTTTTAAATTGGCAGCAGCTGACTAGGCTAAACAGTAAGTGCATACGTACTGTCGGTATTACGTCCGTAAGACACGTTTGCTTCCTATCTTTACCGAATGTAATCTACATTCTACCAGCGCTCGAAATTTTTAAGAAATTAGACGTTTGGCAGGTTCGAACAGCGCACAGGATGCCAACAAATTGGCTAGCATAGGTAGGAATAATGTGAATGTGAGACAAAGAAATTAAGGCGTGTTTTGTTTTTAGCTACGCCCTGTCATCCGTCCAATCGACGTTACCAAAAAAAGTGCATGTCGTGTCTATATAAACTGTGCGGTAGGGCATGAGAATGCGGACTTCCTGTGTTACAGGGCGTTATGGCTGGAGCTGGGAGGGTTTTATTTGTAGTTTGGGCCAGTTTTTGGGAATATGTACCCGTCCTAAAATTTGGCATAAGGCTGCCTGTAGCGTGGGGACTCTTAATTCCCGTGTACAATCTGCTTTCCGCACAAGCAGGATATGATTGATTACGGCGATCACCGGGAAATTGGCAGCTATTAGCATTCGTTTTATCTGAAAATTCCGTCAGTTAAAAGGCCACTACTAGGTTATAACAGGCCCTCGGGAAGGTTATTCACACCCCTTACAAATTTACCACTCCCATGCTGTGGATAATTTACAGCCTCAAGCACGCTGATATGGAAAGTTCAAACAAAGATGGTCTCAATGAACCTGAAATGCATGTCCTAGCGTCGTAATCAGACTCTATAGTTCTGCGCTTATCGTTATCACAAGAACCACAAGGTTACCCAATTATTAATCTGTAAAATTTTAGTTGTTAGTTCAGCCATGTAATAGGTTCTGATTCCAGTTGAGCATTCAATACCACCTGTCCAATGTGTTCTACCAACAGTTGCTCTGAATTCTTAAAAATGGGAGACAAAAAGGCGGTCGGCAAGAAGGAGCATGCGTTTGCAGCTTTCATTCTATTATTCTCTTTCGGCACAATTTTTACTCTGAATGCTTAGCATTAAAAACGTTTTTAAGTTAATTTGGGGCTTCAGAGCACTGTTTTTAATTTAATGTTTTAATTGTTCCTGTTTGCAGTTTAAGATCCGGAGAGCAATAACGAGAGGTTTTTCCGTAGGTTTTTTGACCACCTTCGATACAACTTATTGTACTTACTTGTTACCGTCATTGCGCGAAGTTAAAAAATGCAACTTTAATTTTAGATAAAGCGGGGGTTTTAAAGCACTAATTATTTTGCAGCCAGTGCAGGGCAACAGGGAACCTTAAAGTAGTTCACATGCCTATGAAGATTTTAATTTAGCTTGTGTGAAAGGAGGCATTTTTTCGAGTACTTTCTGAATGTTCAAGAAAATTTTATCTGGTGACGCATTCGACGCACGCATCCCGACTCGTTAAGGCACGAAACCAGTGATGTCCACATCACCCTCAAGTAAATTGAAAACTTGACTGGAAATCTATGTTTTTACCAAACAGAGGACAGATTTATTTTTTCATAAAAATGTATTCGTGCATTTACCTGATACAATGACATTAAGTATGAGTTGCCGTTAGTCGACTGCGCTTAAATAGAGAATTCAGATTAAAAAATATGCAAATATCAAACCAATTGCAACTTGTAAGAATGCGGAATTTCATCTGAGCACATCATTGATCGCAAACGCAATTTGCACTCGGAAGAAAATAATTCAGTAGAGGAATAAAAGTTTAAAAGCCCCCCTAATACTATGGAAAAACAAAGTTCTCAAAGGCGATGACCAGAAATAAGTAATCATCACACTTATTATTTTGGGAGTTTAGTTCATAAAGGACCAACACCAAAGGGTGTATAAATGGATTCAGTATGTTGATTTTTATCGTTGCCTTACTTAAGTTATCTTTTTGGATCTGAAATCCTCTTTAAGAATTTCAACCAACATTTCTTGAAAATTGGATACGTACGGCGACTTTTAGGGAGATCTCCCTAGGGAAGTCCACCTCAAGAGTCCTTACATAACCTTCGCTCTCTCGATTCCTCTCTCCTCTGGAAATGGTATAGGCAAACCGGAATTCAGGCTCCGACTATTTTGCTTTTACATGGTGAACCAGCGACGCGTGACCTCTGTCTGAAAGTTAGAAATCACCTCAGTGGCTAATCATTTGCAGACGACCTTGAGATGGCTAACTCCGTCTCCTGTTGTCAGGCCTATTCGCCGAAGACCATGTCTGATCCTACGCCGCAAGCAAGACATTTTTAGTTTCTAGAACAGTCGGCGAACACTCAGTAATAAAGACGGGTTCCATTGAGTTTAAGATTACAGGCCGGTTGAGAAGACATGTCAAACGAAAAACAAAGTGACTGTCTACTGTTCGGTCTGGAGTTACCAGTGGAAAATATAGAGGACGACGTTGGAGTAGCTTAAACGAGTACTCCGCAGAGTCATCCGACAGTCCCTTAAACGTACAAGTGTAAAACTTAGGGCACTTAAGACTGTCAGAAAATAGATTAACCTATTCTGATGGACTTATGTCTAAAATTAGTCTGCTGAACGTCGGCATTTAAGTTGATCAAATTTACTCGCAGCTGGTTTTTACAGGTCCTGTCTTTTTGTTCCCCTAATAGGCATGACATACTTTACAGTTACAAGCTCTTTTTATTTAGATGTCTGAGTTTCTCTTTTAATGTTCGTTTCTCCATCCGAATATTTTTTTATAAGTGTGGAATTTATGCTTCTAAACAGTCAATCCAAGCACCGATACTTTTGGTTAGATAAACTCGGAGTGGTCAGAACTGGAATTAATCGAACTGCATGGAGAAACAAGTGCTGGCCTTGGCTTTGGTCTGTTGGGAAATAAGACAACGGGCGTCTTGGTGCGTAACATCGTTCCCGGCGGCGTGGCTGACCTGGTAAGTTACGTCTTCGTTTTCATTTTAACATCGCGCAAAGTCTAATTCCTTCAAATCGCAAAAAACCATGCATTTTTCTATTCTCCCTCCACCTCCTGTCATCAAGTAATCTCGTGTGGCCTAATTTTTGGTAATTATAAGATCTGCGGGGTAGCGTAAATGGGACAATTGTCTAGTTATTTGTGACTGCCTTCAGTGGATAGGTTACCTTGCATCATTACGCATGCATAAAGCCACGCAAACGTACGAGAGCCTTATTGCTTCCATAAAGAAACCATAAGTTCTACGCCGTGTTTTAGCTTTATCGGGTGAGAACTGGCGTTTTTGACGTGAAATACTTGTTGCAATGGAAAATTGCTTTTTAACTCTTTCTGACTTTGATATTTGCACAAATTAGGTAAACTTCTCAAAAATGCACGATTCAAGTAAGGTTTGCTTAAAATATCACAAGGAGTGCTCTCCAGTCGTTGTGAGGGGTAGTGCTGAATCCTACGTTCAAAAAGCGACTACCATCATCACTTACACAGCAGAAATCGGATTAATTGTTGAAAAAAGGACTCAGTATTTAAACAATTCCACTAGGACCCACAAAGAGTAGCTAGGAGGGTAAGCAGCCAATGGCAGCAAGCATTTTCCCGACCGTAAACAGTGTGGAATAAGATGAACAATCCGATTAAATCAGGGAGTTTAACATACAGACATCTGCGACCAAATGACCAGCCTAGATTCGCAGCACTTTTAGGTAGATAAGTCTGGTAAAGCGTCGCACCTGATGAAGAGCGTCATTGTAGGGCAGAAACTATAAATTGCGTGTGACACACATTACTGTCCTTTGACAGTTCGACCGTCGGTTTCGACGTGGGAGGTGTCATTGACGTTCCATTTACTCGTTACTGCACAGCAGCAACAGCAGCAGCCGAACACGTCAGGTTCTCGTTAGGACAAACAATAAACAGCCACAGAGGCTGCAGCATAATGTATTTTGGAGACCGGATGGCGGATGCAGTGTCTTGCAGCTTATTCATTAGTCAGTGCCGGCAGGAACATGCACTAGCTCTAGGAGAACAAACGTTGCTCAGAGATTCTGAATTGCGCAGCTGTGTTCAGATGGTTTAACGATGGTCAAAGCTACCTAACTAAAGAAACTTCACAGGCTGGCGCTTTACGAAGTAGCTACTTTCAGCGTCAGCAGTTTGAACAGGAAAAGACGTAAATGGCATGCGCCGACAAGGATAAGGGAGACCGGAGTAGCCATTTCTGGCCTATTAGCCGACATCAGCCAGTCATATCCAACTCCGGAAGTGTGGATCACTTGGGATTCGAACCTGGGATCTTTGGTCATGGAGCTGGACACTCTACCATGAGTCCGTTGTCCTGTCGTGGAATTAGGCAACGATGTGAATCAGCAGGCAGCCGTGATATGATTTCGATACCCACAAGTCTACAGTAGGTGGGCCAAATCATGAAAACCCAACCTGTCCAATAATCGTAGAATACTGCCGTGACTCTGTGGTAGTCTTTACTTAAACGCGGTAGGAGCGCTGGGCTAACACGGAGACTATATCGGGGTCCGGCAGGCGTTATCGGGAATGCGCACTCATAAAAATTCCAGCATTTGGGGTGTGGGACAGGCTTAGTTGTAGACTCACGCCGCTGTCCCTCCTCTCCATATTTTTGTTGTTTAAAATCCTGGTAACGCGTTTGTTATGAACCAGAAGATGTGGTGGTACGCCTAAGTGCAGGCCTACACAGTGCCAGCCACCTAGGGCCTCTCGTCTTCCGTTTTCTTGTCTTGATAATGAAACCGCGCTCAGGTAGGGGAGAGGAGGGAGTGCGTTAGATGCTACTCAAGTCTATTATAAGTATCAACGAATTCACACTCACTTCGCCGTCCTTGTCCTCACCCTGCTGTGTAGCACACGGTGGGCATCGTTGAAACCGACGGCTGAACTGTCATTTTAGTCTTATGTTTGGGGCTGCTACTCATCGTGCATTTGGGAGCTTCAAAAATTCTATGGCAAGAAGAGACACATGTTCGTCATTTCATAGGTTCGTGAAACTATAAAATCAATCCAAGAGAATTCCAGAGCTCAGTAGTTACCAGGGTCACGGTCGCCTCTGTGGTCTGTTCATGCTATTAACTTATTAGAAAACGTTACTCACGTGATCGCCCTTCCACGGCTCTGCTAGTCGCCACTTCATTCAATCTGTTCTCCAGCAGATTTTTACTGCACTGAGGAACCACGTTTAACGCTTTAATCATTGCAATTGAGCAGAGTGTCAGACTGAATACCCATTCAGCGTTCTGGTTTTGTTATTTATAAGTGGCGTCCTCATCCCACCTCTCTTCTTAACTAACGACTCCTCATTAGGTTATGGCCATTTATATGCTCGTTTTCTGATATCTCATCGGAGTTTCATGGACCCACACCATATAATGTGTTTTATTGGTTTATTTCTGACCCAAGGAATGATCCTATGGTGTTTTGCGTCTTAGCTGTTGTTGCTTTTTCATCCACTAGAATGCACTAGAGTTTGTTAGCTAGCACAAATCCGATAGGATGAAAACTGTCCGACATTCCCTTCCTACGTGTTTGTTGGCTGCATATGCCTCACCAGTGCCGATATATTGCCTACGTGATATGAGTCTATTTTTCAAATGAAGAAGAGTTTGGGCAAATATAACTTTTCCTGATGATATGCAAACCACCTCGACTATGATGCATTACTTTTACTTATCACCTAATTACCGGGATTTGTCGCAACCGGTTTCGATCCTCACGCATCTAAATGGAGATAAGGACGTCTTCTAGTGTGGGGCTTTTTAGCTATAAATCAGAGTGTGCGACTGAAAATTATGAGAAAATGCGATTTTATATGAAATGGTTTCCATTTTGTCTTGCAACGTAGCAGCTATCTATGAAGAAAACTACCATCTGATTGATGCCAATTACTGTGTATGTTCTACGCAAAAAATTTTATACCAACCTGATCCCATAAAATACTTCACTAGAAAAGGATCTTGGTGCACGCTTATTGAGCGCTCACAAACATCCCGAGCACAATGGCAAACGTCTCAAAAAGTTCGAAATAATAAACTTGTTGAAACCAACAAATAACTCATTGCTTAGCAAACTATGGGCTGAGGTGATGTAACAATCGATAGAATAGGTATAAAGGTGTATGACGTTGCACATATTCATGGGAAACATGATTGAATTTATGCAGACCGCGAAGGTTGGCGCAGGAATGTATTCCAATACAAAACGATCGTTTGTAGAGTGCAATTCACACAGATGGATAGAAGGAGGTTATGTCATAAGCCAGCATGTCAAGGAGTAGGAAGTGACTGTGTGATATGCTCTCTGACAGTCAGTTGGGCATGTCAAGTAAGTCATCGTTTCGGTTTGAAACCGTGCTGATGCGTGCCAGTCAACGTCCATGAGTCTTGGACCAAAAATAAGTAAGTCACCCAACGTTTTCTATGCCTCATCAGAGGGACAATGGAATGTTTTGAATGATTTCCACAGCAGCGGGGCTATATTAAAGACAAGAGCAGTCCCAATGGTCGATTTCAGATCGAAGGTTATTTGAAAAGTCTTTCCTTGGAAGAGGGAGAAATGTGATAACAATTCCCTCTTTAATATCAGCACCACTAACTTTGGAAAGAAGGCCTCGGCCGGTTTCGGGGTCCCACGAAGGAGAAACAACTTTTGGCTTACAGGAGCTAACGGAGGGAGACCCTTCCTGAATCTCTTCTCGTTATGAGCTCCGATCTCGCTCCAGCTGAGGACGTCTAAGAGTGACTAATTTTTTTCAAAGTTGGGTCTAGGCTGGCTCCTGTATGCCGAAACATGGGCAGCAACGCGAAGCTGATCGAGTAGAGAAGGTGGGCGTACTCATGAAATGTCGACCGAAATTTCGAAATGCGTTTTTGTTTCGAAAAGATTAATTAAGTTAGGTTATAAAACATATCATCATGCAGCATAATTATATAATGGTCCAGTTGCCTCAGGGTGCCTTCTTCTGAAAGAACTTATTTCTGACTTCATGCAAGAAGTATATCCTACAAAAAATGACTACATAAGTAGCATGCAAATTTCTCCTTGATTTTCGATGCCCTTAAAAGTTCAATTATATTCAATGAAAAAATGGAATAAAATATCCATCCTTTTACTTATTCGGTAGAAATTCACGCCTTTTTCCAATTTTATACTCGAAGGAAGAGTATATTTCGGTTTTAAAAACCCTTTTTAATTCCCGAATCAATTTGAATCCGACCTGCCGTTGCACCTGTATTCCGGGTTTCAAACTACAAGCCGTATATTTTCCGCGCACGGAAAATCATACATTTTTCTACGGCATTAGAAGGAGACCATATGGTTTTCAGAAAATTAGCAGTGGATTTGAGCAATATTGTTAACTATACAAGCCAAATTGGTAAATACAGACATATGACGTTTTATGAGCGGCCATTTCATGGTATTAAAAAATCTCACAATAAGAAACTTTTTGAAACCGAATTATGCTCTTCCTTGGAGTATAAAATTGAGCAAATACGTAATTTTAAACCGAAAAAATAAAAGGATGGATATTTTAATGCATTTTTCCATGAAATATAATTGAACTTTTAAGGGCGTCGAAATTCAATGAGAAAATTGCTTGCTACTTCCGTAGCCAATTTTTGTAGAGTATAATTTCTGCATGCAGTCAAAAATCAGTTCGTTCGGAAGAAGGCACTCTGAGGCAACTGGATCATTATAGATTTAAGCTGTATGATGATTAGTTTAAAAACCTTACTTAATTAATCTTTTCGAGACGAGAACGCATTTCGAAATTTCGGTGGGCATTTCATAACTTAGCCCACCAACTGTAGGCCATTGCAACGCTTACTGGGCCAACATCAAAGAAGGATTTATTGCTGTATTTTTAGCACAACTTTGACTCTACAAAGAGCTTCCCATAGGGCATGGCACTAAGGGCCTCTCTTGCTACATCTGGTCTTGTGCTAAAGTCCAGCCGGGTACCTATTATCGTGCCTTAGATCTAGCGCTGACTAGTGCCCTCATACTTATAAGACGAACCAAAGCACCAATTCTCCTAGCGATAACCCTGACAATAAACCAAACTCTACCCCCACGGAACTGCCACTTTTTACTCAAGCAGGTAATAGGACACAGTTTTTGCAAATTCTTAGCCTGGTAGCATGATTAGGCCTTTGTCTATGCAGTTTCTATGGGCTCAGCATGTCGCCTAAAACAATCAAAACTTATTTTCACGGAGAAACCTGACACACTGGCTTTCAAAGACGCCACAAGGGAATATGTAAACAGCCGACCTGAGAAGAGGCAATATGTAAACAGTTAAGTGATTGAAGTGCTTATATGTTGGACAGGGCACAGTCATCAGCCTTAAGTTAAGTTCCAGAGCAGTTGGGATGAAGGATAGGATTATGGGTATGCTTAGGGCAGGCGAATATGTATCGCAAGACCACATATTCGTGCCAGCCCCACCTAACACTAACACCAAACAAAACTCTACCCCCATGAAATTTAGTGATAAGTGGAAGCCATATTCCCCTGTGCTACCGAAGGTTCATTTGAGGAAGAGAAGGCAAACGTTTACAAAAAGCCTGACAATTAAACCTTACTTTATATTGGTCACCTTAGTTTAGAGACGACCCACTGTACTCGCCTAGTTTCAGGTTTCCGCGCAGATTTTGGTACGCACAGGCCAACCGAAGACCTATTTTGCTGAATATTACTCACTCTCGATATTTCTCTGCTGGAGCGATCGCAGCGCACGAGGGGAAAAGCTGCGTGGTTAACTCTTTCCCACAAAAATTGTCTCAACGGCAGACGAACGTGCGCATCCTCGGTGCAGAATGCGTCGTTTTGACATGCGGTGATTTCCGCCATTTCCCTTTTGCCGCGCGCGCTTAATGCTCCGTCCGTTTTAACTAAATTATTAATCATCCACTTGTTAGTAATGCTGTTGATGTTGCTGCTACTGCCGGCTTTAAAACAGAAAGAGTATTCTGTGAATAGCGCTGTTTTGACTGTCTAGCTGAAGTCTTGCATATTTTGGAGATTTTACAACAGGGATGTTTTTTTGTGGAAAGAGCTTTTGTCAGGACGGGTAGTAGGAGACACGCCTGCCTGCCATCTGTCTTGTCGTTTGTAGAAGGAAAATTTCGACAAAAATGTTTTTGAGCTGCCTTATAATTGCAAGGCCAGGAAGTGTCAATGCAAGAAAGAGAAAAAGCAGATTTTGCATTATTGAATTCGTTATCTTTGCTAGCGTCGCTTTTGAAACCACATACACGTAATCCGATGTGGCAATTCATTCTGTCAAAAAACGGTTGGACTTGACCCGTGGATGGTAATATCACCAGTCGTTTTACAGTGAACATATAAGAATCGCAGTGAAACTGCTCACAAATGATTCAGATCCAAGGGCGCTGATATTTCACAATTAGGCCGTTTCGGCGACTGGTATTTGTGGTATTATCTCCCACATTTCCTCCTCGAAAATGGTCCTTGTCCTGTGTGAAAATGATGGATGGTTGCCTTCGAGCGGAAGATGTAACAATGCGGCGCACACTGTTCTACTGTGTGCCATTAGTCAAACTAGAAAAAAAACAATTCTTCTAACTAACCACTAATCTCGTATGGCAGTTGCGTGTTTCGGCCACACACGTGCAACAAGCCGAAGACATCCATCTTACTCCCAAGAAGGAGTCAAGCTCGAGGAAGCAGTGATTTGCTTTCTCAACCGGAAAGTGATGGTTCCTTCTAAATGCCCAGGACTGACAAGTTATTTATCAAAATCCAGTCTCCAATGTGAACTTTACATCAGTTTTGTGTCCGGGAAATAAATGGTTTTACCAGTTGGAAATGAGCTACCTTGCTGAAAACATTTCCCTGTGGGAAATTAAACGCTCATTATTTATCCGTGGTTTATTTCCGCAGACGCAGTCGGTAGGCTGTTGAACCCATAAATTGAATCATGGACTTCAGAAACATACAAGATAGTCAACATTAATTGTGGTGTTTTCGTATCTAGTCAGGCACATCTTCGAACTTTCCGGTCCTAAATATATAAAGTTGCTACGAATGGATTCCGTCTACAGAAGATGATAAGTAGGATTGCTTAGGGAGTTCTAAGCCATTCACCGTCATATTTGCAGGGATGTTTGCAAAATATCACCTCGTGTTTCATTTTCTGTGTCTTAACAGGTCCAACAATTTGGAGACATTTCTGTGCCTCACTGACTTTCTGGCTTAATGGGGATGTGACGTTTAGTCGTTTGGTTTGGTTCTTTCTAGTTCCTTCCCCGAACTCATAATAAAAGATTTCTACTCATGACCAGTTTAACGGGAATATTTGGCAAAGTTAGCACCCAAGAATAACGGTTTTTGAATCTCGCACGAGATTACGTTCATGTCAAATTGCCTGTCCATCTGGCCATCATTGTTTAGCCTTAAACTGTCCCTCGCAGCATGCGTGACACCGGCTAGTTATTTAGATCTGTTACTATAATCTCCACAACGAAGCATTGGAGTCCAGTGGGTTTTTGAACGCCGTATGTGTTGCAGGGTATGTATGGCGATGAGGCTCTTGCTTAACCAGGCATAAAACGTTTTGATATATATGAAAAAGCGGCGAAAATTTTATAAAGCTCCAGTTCAAAAGAAAGCAAATCAAAATTTTCAGTAAGCCAAGATTGTCGCCCGCTGCGAAATGTTTATATGCTCGGTCTTTGACTAGAAACCTCGAAAACTCAGGCCAACAAGTCCGCTAGCTAAACAGCCATGTGTTCGTTTCCGACACAAGCAATCTGAGGTGGGCTCAAGTTTGAGACATGTTCAATTTTGTTGTGTAAAGGTAACATGTGGTTTGATAGCCCCACCTGATGGACACAATACTGTTCGGGTTAAGGGTTAGAGTCCGGGGGTAATGGTTATGGGTTATGGTTAGGGGTTAGGGTTTGGGGTTAGTGCAACTATTATTCAACCATCCAAAGTACAACCGCGCATTTCCGATAGCTTTTCTTTTGCACACAACTACTTAACCTCGTCGTCTGTGCGTACTCCGGTCCCGTATTAGAGGTGACTAGGGGTTGTTTTTCTTCAGGTGGGGCTACGTAACCACATCCGACCTTTATAAACTTTCGGAAATCTATCAAGTTTCCTTGAACTACCCATTGGATATCGCCATAGAATTCCGTGCATTTTCCTGCGTTCCCAGTTATGGAGCCATTCCACGGCGATTAATACGTGTACAGTCAGCTGGCTCACATTTGAAAAAAAACTCCTCAGTTCATGCGGTCGACGCTTGCGTTCCAGCGTTGGAACGGTCTTCAGTGTCTGTCCGTGACTCCAAGTTCACGAAATTCACCTCATAAATGCCCAGGCAGATCTCTCATAAAGGCAAATAAGGCAAAATAGTTGATACCCAAAGGTAACTTTTAAACCGATCTCCATCCTTACCGAGCTCACTGAAAGTCCCCTCTTAGATATGGCAGAGTTAACCACTGTCTCGTTATACCGCGTTGATTGGGTTAGGGATGTCTGATGGGCCGGAGAGGATAGATGAAAAGCCTTAGGTCTAAGTGGGCATATCGATCGACTCCCAAATAAGATCAATTGTTCCGTAAATCAGCGAGTGCTTTGTACACAGAAGTACCCCACACGTGCAACATACCAGCAACAGAAGCGAAAAAATTATCGTACGCGCGGAGGCAGAGTAGGTGCACGCAAAAGTAACAATCGGGAGATGGTGGCGGGCCAACTTCGATCATTCACCTGTTCAAATAAGGCTTTCTGTCGGCTAGTATCGTACATCCCGACCAGCCACCACCCATAAAACCCCTATTATCACCTGTCCCGTAAGACAGGCTGCTTTGGTTAGGCGGATTTTTTGGGTGCCATCTCCCGATTGTTGCCCATGCAAAACGTCCAGTTTCTCTGCAATGGTCAACTGTACAGGCAAATAGACGGCGCGGAGTGATGGGCTCACCGCTCGGCCCATTTCTCGCAAATGTCTTCATGGATAAAGTCGAGATGACAAATTTACAAGAGGTCTGCCTCCAGTTAAGTTCCTAAATTCTGATAACGAAATTGTAAACCTCTGTGACTTCCACAACTCGAACTACCCGTTAGGCATGGCAGTGGAAACGTTAAAAGAATTGCTGACACTTTGCACGCAAAACGTTCGGCTTCTCTGCAATGGCCAACCTTAGAGGCAAAGAGATGGCGAAGCAATGGGTTCACCGCTTGGTCCGTTCCTCGCAAATTTTTTCTTGGCAAAGTCGAGAAGACAAGGTTAGAAGATATTATTAGTGACATTAGCTTCTACAGACCACCCATACAGACGCTCTAGTCCAAAAGTTTGACAGTGAACCCCTCTCACTAAAGTTCTCTGCAGAGGTTAAGGCAGACAACGAATTCGCGTTCCTCGATGTTCTTCTGCATAGACAAGAGGATGGGTCTTTCCAACGTAGGGCATTCCGAAAGAAAAACTGGACGGATAATGCGCTAAATTTTACAGTTTTGTTCCCCTAAATATTAAACGCAATTTGGTCCAGGGATAGGCAATTACAGTGCGGCATATCTGCTCTCCCGATATTGTTGGGGTAGAAGTCCAGCCGCTGCAGGATATACTCCACGAAAATGGATACCCAGAGATATTTATCCTCCGAAATATAGGGGAGCGCACTGCAAAGCCTACCATGGCAACTGCAGAAAAGAAGGACTTATTTATAAGACTGCTTTTTTAAGGTGACGCAGCAAGTGACCTAGTAAGAAGAAGTCTGAAGACAGCGATCACTAGCGCTTTCCCCGTGGCGAACTTACGTGTATGTTTCACTTACTCTCCCCTCCTACGCTTGGAAGGTAAAGACCGACTCCCGTTGCAGGCCACATCGATGTGCATTTATTCATTCACTTGCTTCTGTGAAGCGGGACACATTGGCCATACAACGAGGCGCTTGGAAAAGAGAGTGCGTGAACACATACCGGCCTGGCTAGGCAAAGGTGAGAAGAAATCGATCTCGACTTCTATTCTCGCACATCCTGTCGATACGAATCACCGAGTCGATGCCAAAGAAGCCTTTCAGAATAGGATGAGTTTATTCAGGAAATCAGACGAGCAGAATAAGTGGCGTCTTTAGCGCCAATCCTTAGAGTTAACTCTGTGGTGCTGTGGGCATCCGGCAGTTGCATTGACATGCTCGACAAGGCGCGCAGACCTGGCCTGAGTGACCATGGTGACCGCCAACAAAGGTCCCCGCCACCGCCGGCTTCTCATTTTCAGTTACGACAGATTCCTGAAGATGCTCTGCCGGGGCCAAAGTTCCCATCACGGTTAAAATTAGCAGGGTAAAGAGGACAGGCTGCATTCTTTCACTACGATTTGTTTCCCCAACAGTACAAAAAGACAGGCTTTTATAAAGCCAGAACCACAGAAGTGGCTACAATGTAACGCTTACGCGTGTTGACACTGGTGAGTAAACAGAAGAATGACTGCCAACCCATGCCCCGCCTATCCGCCCCCTCCCCTCTTTGAAGTTCTCAGCTCGCAGGCTAAGTCGACTTTTCACATCTGAACAGACGCAAGAACATTAACTTTTGTCAGCTAATTGCGTCATTTAAAACAGGTGATTTCGCTTTGTGATGGAAGTTAAGTTCGCTTTAATTGCTCCACCTGTGTATGATCTGATTATGTCTCGTTATACAGAGGGCCGCGAGGGCACGAGACGATGCCTTCGTGAGCTGCAAACCCTTGGGCTTGGTATCGCAAGCGTTAATTGCGGCACTATTTGTTGAAAGAACTCAACTGCCTTACGAGATGCAATTTTATTTTTGCTGTGTAATTAGCACACGTGATACGAGAGGGTACAGAGCAGCTCAGTCTGCGTAATACAGGCAAATACCGACCCGTCTAGACGTGTAGAGCTTTAAATCTTTTAGGCCTCGCCCATGGGTTTTCTGAATACTTGAACGTCCCTCTCCCCCAGCGGTTTCAGAAGATTTCGTCTGATTTCCGTTTTCTGCACACGTCCTCGTCTTCTGCCATAGTCACCATAGCAGCACTTTTCAGGACGTTTAATTGGCCAATAGTCGGGACCTCTTATTGACCAGTCTGCTTGCTTTAGAATCGCTTTATCCCAATTTCCGTCTGTGAATTATCGCGGAATAGGCCAGTGCAGGGGATGACTTAATGGTGCTTTGTGGAAATTAGTATCCCCGACCCCTCGCCCCCCACCCCCCCCCCCCAACCCCGCCTGAATGAGGTCGCACTGTTACATCAGAGCCCGCCTTGTAGTCGCATTCGAGTGCGTGTGGTTGGTGCCACAGGAGGTGTCTGTCACGCGTAGACAAGAATTCAACCGCGCCGGTTTGGCCTTTGTCCCCTACTGGAACATAGTAACTCTGGCGAGAAGGAGTGCAATGGGTGTCCCACAAGACGGTTCTTTGCTACTGGCCCAATTCACGTACAATTCTGGTCTGTCCTCCCGCGGAACAGTGGCAGTCGCCGTCACCTGAGGCAGATAAACTGCCGACTTCATTGGGCCACAGGCGATTCCACCCATTTTACGTGCCGCTCTGCGGCAGCTGGCGGGGCTCGAGAGTGAGTGAACCCCAAAACACGACGGGATGAGGGAGTTCCGCAACGCTATCGGTGAGCGCCCCTCTACGCCTGTATGTGTTCGATCGCAACCGACAGGTCAGCGAGCCCGTGGCTAGAGCGTTGGACTTCAGATCAACAGATCGCGAGTTCGATCGTGGCTGTTTGATGATGGCAAACGAGCCAGAAATAGTTATTTCAGCCTCCTTCGTCCCCCTCAATATTGACACAATTCTAGTCTGCTTTCCGGGAACAGATGCGGTCCTTGTCAACTGAGATGGGCAAACTACCGCCCTCGTGGTAACTGATGCATTCTACGGAGTGATAGGGATTCCACTAGGATTGGAGCTGGGCAGGTTGTTATCTGACATTTTGTCGCATGAGTGCGAACAGCTGACACTATTGCCGAAAAACAACGACCCCAGTAAGTCTGTACTTTAATACCCTAGAAAAACGCATGATGTGGTTTGAAAATATGACTAATATTTTATTTCAAACGGTTAATGTTATTAACAACACTGCGTTCCCTACTGCTGATTCCACTAAATTTATATTGTTGTTCTTATTCCTGTGGAATTATTGGAGGTATTTACAACCTGTAGTAGGAAGCAGAATATAACATTGCAAACCGTCAGGTTTGTCGTTCAATACATGAGTTCAAAACCTCCTTTATCCTCCATAGTTCAACCCACAATAACTTTTATGTATGGATAACAGTTATCTATGCCCTACATGCCTTTTGGCTTACCTTAAGATCAGTGCAATATGAATTAAAGTACGCTGGGAGGTCTCTTATTTGGTAACAGAAGTCTCCACCATATCTCAATCAAACATGCGCAATGTGAACTGTTAGCATCCAACAAGGACATCTCACTACAAGATATTGGTTACAGAAGGGGGGGATAGTGGAACAACCCGAGGGGGTAGATGGTAATCTCCAGAGACCATGACTCTTGTTTTTCCCGTCAATTTGAAACATAGAGGCATAAAATGTATCTGTATCAAAGGCTACCCAGTACTACTTGGAACGATCTTATGCGCGATTCGTTTTTGCGAGCTGCAAGTTGTCCAGGTAAGGCCTATGTACGGCTTTAGGTTGCGCTAGCGGTATGAAGACTGGGCACACACAAACAAATGATTACATTTCGGTCGTCTAAAACAAAATGGGCGTGAAGTTTTTGAGTTTAAAAAAAGTTGGTGCATATTTCGTGCCAGTGTTTGGTTTTGCTTAAGCAGAATGCAAGTGAATGTATGTTAGTAAAATTCCACAGATAACTAGCTCGCCAACGCAGTTTCTGAAGTTAGACGTGTAGTTTGACAAGCCGTGCTCCGAGGGATGGATGCATTTAGTAGTAGGTCAGCGAGCCCGTGGCTAGAGCGTTGGACTTCAGATCAACAGATCGCGAGTTCGATCGTGGCTGTTTGATGATGGCAAACGAGCCAGAAATAGTTATTTCAGCCTCCTTCGTTCCCCTCAATATTGACACAATTCTAGTCTGCTCTCCGGGAACAGATGCGGTTCTTGTCAACTGAGATGGGCAAACTACCGCCCTCATGATAACTGATGCATCCTATGGAGTGATAGGGATTCCACTAGGATCGGAGCTGGGTAGGTTGTTATCTGACACTTTGTCGCATGAGTGCGAACAGCTGACACCATTGCCGAAAAACAGCGACCCCAGTAAGTCTGTACTTTAATATCCTAGAAATGACTAATATTTTATTTCAAACGGTTAATGTCATTAACAACACTGGCTTCCATACTGCCGATCTCCCTAAATTTATATTGTTGCTCCCATTCCTATGGAATTATTGGAGGTATTTACAACCTGTAGTGAGCAACAGAATATAACATGGCAAACCGTCATGTTTGTCTTTCAAGACATGAGTTCAAATCCTCCTTTATCCACCATAGTCCAACCCACAATATGTATGGATTACAATTACCTACGCCCTAATGTATTATGACTTACCTTAAGACCAATGAAATATGAATTAAAGTACCCTGGGAGGTTTCTTAGTGGGTATCAGAAGTCTCTAGCATAACTTAATCAACCATGCGAACTGTTAGCATCTAACAAGGATATTTAACAAGAAGAAATTGGTTACAGAAGGGGAGGAATAGTAGAACAACCCTAGGGGATAAATAGTAATCCCCGGAGGTCATTGCTCTTGGTTTTCCCGTCGATTTGAAACATTCAGTCATAAAATTCATCTGTATCAAATGCTACCCAGGACTACCTGGTACGATCTTACGTTTGATTGGTTTTTGCTAGTTGCAAGTTGTCCATGTGAGGCCTATGTACGGCTTTAGGTAATGCTAGCGGCATTGAAGACTGGGCACACATAAGCAAATGACCACATTTCAGTCGTGTCAAACGAAACGGGCGTGAGGTTTTTTGCGTTAAAAAAATCTTGGGGCATATAGCGTGCCAGTGTTTGGTTTTGCTTAAGCAAACTGCAAGTGTAAATGTAACTTCAATGTACGTTAGTAAAATCCAATCGATAAATAGCTCGCCAACGCAGTGTCTGAAGTTAGACGTGTAGTTTGACAAGCCGTGCTCGGAGGGATGGATGCATTTGGTAGAAAGCAATATGTTTATCGTCCTTGAGTAATATGCTCGGTACAAACCAACGTGTCTAATACCTATCACCTTAGGAGGCCTTATACTTAAAAATCACACCAACAAAATGGCTGGGGTGATGAGAGCATTATAATAGGGACTTTCACGGGTTCTCTCAGTGGCACAGTAAATTGACACCTTTTGGAAAGAGGCGTTGTCAGTCATTTGGATAACCGCTTTGGGGTTTATTCTTTTTTGCCAAATGTCACCTAAAATGTTGGTAATTGAGTTCGCCGATTAAGCAGTCGACGTAATAATCGCAGCCACTTGCGTGATATGCAGCGTGTCTGGTAACGTGCGCAAACTCTGCAAATTTGATTACTTTGTAAAGGGAAATAACGCAACTTGATGGAAAACATCTAGCATCTAAAGAATATCCGTCTGCGAAGAGCCACTGTCAAAAGATTTCGCTAACTGATTCATCTAAACTAAGCCATGTCAAATAATGTCCTTTCCGAAAGCCCTCATTATCGAATTTTGACTGTTCCTTTGCCGTTATGCAACATTTGGTTGCATTCATCCCCGTACTGATGTAATGACGGCCTTCTTCTGTCATATTATCGCTCATATTTTACAGTTTCCTTTCAACCTGTACTTCAGTCAGCTGTTTCTCTTACTGACACGCAATTATGCCTCCCATAAATTACTAGTTTTGTAAGGAAGAAGACTGGTCGAGAAACGGGACATTTTGTTTATTGTTCTGGGCTTTCAAACTCGTGCAGTAGTCCACAGCGGGTAAGATCGCAGTTGGTAGCCAGGCACTGTAAATTGATAGTGTCGACGTATTTACTTGTTATCAGTAGGTGTGTTTACCTTGTCTAGAGAAGTAGTTATCAGTACGTGTGCTTCTACTGCATGAGGTAGGTCAACGGTTTCGGTCAGGCTATTGGGTTTAGTGAGGGTTACGGTTAGGCGTAGGTTAGGTTTGAGGATTAGGATTTGCGTTATATGGTCCGGCTTCAGTGTTAGGATTAGGGTTTAGGCTTATGATTATGGTTTGGCTTTAGAGTTGGGTTTCGGCTTCAGTGTTAGGGTTAGCGGTTAACAAATAATGGTTAACGGTTAAGGTAAGGGTTACAGTTAAGGCTAGGGTTATGGTTAAGGTTAGGTTTAAGGTTAAGGTCACAGTCATGGTTAGGGTTATGGTAAAGATTAAGGTTAGGATTACGGTGAAAGTCACGGCTAAGGTTAGGGCGAAGTTTAAGCTAAGGGTTAATGTTGAGGTTAGGGTCAAGGTTAAGGTTGGGGTTTAGGTTTAGGTTAGGGCTTAGTTTTTAGGTTAGCGTATGGGTTACGGTTAGACTTAGTTTTTTTTCCAGAAAGCTTTTAGTATCTTAGAGTTAGGTTTTCCGTATGAGGTTTCGTTGGGATTTGACTTTACGGCTTACCTTACAAAATCTTCCCTACACTTCTTTCGGTAACTATTTATTCGCAGAAACTCCAACATTCCTCCACCAGCACTTTCACTTGCTCCACCCATATAACCCCCTTTCCCGCCATTCCCGTAAGACAGGGACCTCGCTGTCTGCCTCCCTATTCCTGGCCCCCAACTGCGATCTCACCTTCCAGCGTCAGAGAGAGATTAGCAAGAACAGAACGAGAGACACTTATTGGGGGCTGGACAATCATTGATCGATGCCGCAGGACCAGAGGTGACTGCGCAGGGCTATGTATGTCGACGCCAGATCGATAAATCGGTTGACGGAGTCCTCATCCGAGTTCCAGGCCTTAAACGACTTTCGGCATCTTTTGTTTCCGACGTGGGCGATTATTTTGGAAGCTGCAGCGTTAAAAACATGACCCATTTCGTGGGTGTGGGCAACCACACGCGATAGTTCATCGTGACCTTGCTGCGCATGGTGGCTTTGGGCCAGTGTGCGATTCTAACACCTTGTTCCACGGCAGTGCGTCGGTCGCTTCTGAAACGTCCTTAATGTGTGGCAGAGAACGCCATGTCCCTTGTTTCACATCGCTGGACGATTAATTTGTCAGATTACTATCATCTTAGTAGGTCCTGATTAGAGTACGTAAACTGTTATCGCCTGAGAGCACTAGGAATGCGTGCAATATCTGCTGTTTTAGATTTCCCAGAGTCAAAGATCCCTACAATTAGCAATGTGTGGTGTAGAACTGTTCCATTACGCGCAGTGGCACACCATCTTATTTCAAGCGCAAACGACGATCTGTGGAGATACAAGTTCTTCATCCGCCGCATCTGGCGTCCCATCTAAGTATCTAGAGTTGAGAAAGGGAAATAAATCCTGAAAATGTTTTTTTCCGACAACGATGGAAGTACGGACACTCCTTCCTATCAATGTTTCAAAGTATCTCTGTACATATCCGTACAATATCCCGCTGGTTTTTAAGCTTCTCATCAAGGGGAATATATCGAGCTTACGATGTCTCACATGTGAGGTCTTTTAAATTGTTCAGTTTGTTTACTCATGAGGATGTTTACAGCGCATGCATAGACATTAGTCCTTACTGTATTCTACCGAGAAGACATGTCGGGTATATGTCAGTTTGTCTATCAGTCCGCCAGAGCGGTACAATGGTTTCCTGGGGTTCCAAAATGCCGTTACCTCAATCCCCCTCAATCCCATGTCAGCCAGCAGGTATTAGTATTCTGATGCGAAAGGTTTATAAGAGTTGGGACGGTATCTGTGCATTTGATAGGTGTAACCTGATAAAGTTTGCAGTTCGCAAGATCTGATCTAGAGTCGATTTGTAATCTACTAGAAGCGTTTTGCTGACTAATGTCTTTCTGGTAAAAAATCAGTATGAAGATTTTGCGTCTGGTTGATTCCTAGTTTAACAGAGCTTTCTCCGTACCCTAAAAAATAAGGTTCTGACCATCATACAGTTGGCAGACGAAAGCAGTATTTGATCCTACCTCGTCGTCAGTCAGTATAGCACGTAATATGATACTACCTGCATATATACTGACAATAAAATTTGCTTTCCAAGGTGTGACTAATTAAGCCTTCCCTGTTGCGCTTGACTACAGGATTTGGATTTGCCGATAGTGGATGTTATTTTGTTTTACCAGGGACCATAATGACAAAAAAACCGGCAAGGCTATGGCTTATGGCCGGGGTTACTTACTTCTGGGAGCCCTTGCGTTGAGCAAAAGACCTTGACATCTAGGAAATTCGTGGTATCACAAATTTTGATCTCCCTTATTGTCACCAGTTGAAAGGGTACACTATTTTTGCCAGTTCATGGTAACAGTAAATTGATTAATTGTCCCATTGCTGGCACTGTTAAAATGGTTTTGGATCGTCATATGTTTGCTCCGATGACCACCTTAAAACTTTTATTCCATTCTCACGCAGCAGCCACCGCGAGGTCTTTTTAGGCTTTTCTCTGACACGTACAAATAAATATCCCAGTTATTTTCTTCTCGCAAAATTGCTTCCGGAGTAAGTAACCCCAGCCATAAACCATACCCTTGCCGAAAACCTCCCACCGTAGTTAGTACACACAGGATGAGATGCCTCGTAATCTTCAGTGCATCTGAAACGGGGCCTCCAACAGCAACTGCAGGGACACCATTCAGCCCATTGTTCAACATATGAATGTGGTGGTTCAGGTGTTGATGTCAAACCAGAGAGAAAACTCGGATGACCCGCATGTCTGTTAATACTCATGTTCCCGATATGTAAGTATAGTACGTGGGTTAACTCATGAAATGTCGGCCGAAATTCCGAAACGCGTTTTTGTTTTGAAAAATAGTCAACCTGCAAAATAATTCTATAATATTTCAGTTACCTCAAGATGCCGGCTTTCGTATAAACTTCCTTTCGGCTGCATACAAAAACTACACTCTGTAAAAAATGACTATTTACGTAGCATGAATTTTTCTCATTGATTTTAATGCTCTTTAAAATTTAATTATATTTCATGGAAAACATGTATAAAATATTTATCCTTTTGCTTATTCGGTAGAAAATTACGTCTTCTTTCAATCTTATACTCAAAGCAAGGGTATAATTCGGAGTTCAACAACTTTTCTAATTCCCAAATAATTTTTAGCCCCCTCCATCGTTACACTTGCATTCAGGGTTTCCAAACTACAAGCGTATATTTTCCGCCTACGAAAAACCACACATTTCTCTACGGTAATAAAGGGGGATCATATAGGGTTCTTAAAATTTAACAGTGGATTTGATTCATATAGTTAACTTTACAAGATACATTGATAAATGCAGAGACATGACGATTTGTGAACGGCCATTTCACGGTATTTAAAAGTCCCACGATCAGAAATTTATTGAACCGAATTTTGTCCTTCCTTCAAGTATAAAATTAAAAGAAGACGTACTTATCTGCCGAATGAGTGAAAGAATGAATATTTTTATGCATCTTTTCCATGAAACATAATTGGAATTTTGATGCTATCGAAAATCAATGAGAAAAAGTCATGTTATTTAGGTAGCCATTTTTTACAGAGTGTAGTTTTGCATGCAGCCGGAAGGAAGTTTGTTAGAAAGCAGGCATCCTGAGATAACTAAACTGTTATATAATTATGTTGCAGGCCGACTGTTTTCCAGTTATACTTAATTAATCTTTTCGAATCGAAGACGCATTTCGCAATTTCGGTTGACATTTCATGAGTTAGCTCGCCTACTGTAGTACTATCCCGGATCTGCAAATGAACGTTCACTAGAAAAATTTGAACATTAAACTGGAACTTCTACAAAAAATGCTAAAGTTGTACTCCATTAGTGTCACCTATCCCGTCATGCGTGTAAGGCCGAAAGCGATGGTTGATTGTTTTGATTGCTGCAGACCACGGGCCCCAACCTTCTTCGTGCCCTGCATCCCTTAAAACAGTTTCTCAAAAACAAAAACAAATTTATATAACCAAATTTTAATAAATAACAAAAATAATGCTTTTTAATTCTTGTTTGTTGGATAACAATTTTTTTACACCGTGCTATCTAATTGCAGTTACCAAGTCACATATCTGCTTGTGCATCCAAACCATTTCTGGATTTTGTTTTAATTGAAAAAAGGGCACAAAATCCACATTCGCATAAGTATGCCTTCGACGACTATATGATCACAGTTAGTCCCCATTCACCAAAATTCGGAAGCCTTCTCATTGCAAAAATCGATATTGCGCCAAAGTATTGCCTTCAAGCTGCATTTCAATTGCAGGATTTGTGAGCTGCCCTAAAAGACCTTTCGTTAATTTCTCATCACTCAACATTCTATCCAAATTGAAATAGTATGGGTTTGTAATCCATGTTTACACACTTTTCAGTTCTTTGTCTTTAAAATAATCATCAAATAACTTTGATAATATTTTCAAATGACTTAAAATTGCGTCACACACAAGTTGAATTAGAGAATCATTCATATCAAACATTTTTTCAAGTGACTGAAAATTAAAAACGCTGCCCATCCTACCCCGTCGATACCAAAATTGTTGCTTCCTTTTAAAATCATTTGTCTTCTCACAAAATGTCAATACGTTTGCATTTTCCCCGTTAGATAGATACACTCAAGTCATTCATTCGAGTAAAAACTCATTTGGATAGGCTAACATTTGGTTGAATTCTGGAAATTTCATTTCTCCTACCAAATCATAGTCTCATTCCTTTAGAATTGCTTTGATTCCTTCCCGTAGTTCAAAAACGCGTTAAGTCATTCCCACATGACAGCCAGCGGACTTTCGTATGGAAAACCAGGGCTGAATGTTAACTTCCAAATTCTTCACAAAACACTTAGGGGGGAGGGAGGGAGCGGCGATTCAGAGCGCGACCCCTTATCTACCTTATGTTCTTCACTTAAGTATCGGTGACTTTTTTCATCTTTAGTTATAAAACCTAAGTTAGAGAGGATTTCTTGAGGGTCACATCGGACTCCTTTAGCTTCCAGTGATTTACCAGCGTGGCCTGCAAAATCTGCATCACCACGGCGGCTATTGAAATATCCCAGCAGTTTAAAGGGCTTCAGATTTTTGTTTGAAAAGACATACATTGAGGTTTTTGCACAACATCAGTTGTTTCGGTGCAAGTGAGACCAAACTTCACACAATCATTACTTAGTGTCCTTTTCTTTGAAATCATGAAGCGTTGATAATAATGGAAGATATATAATCTAAATGTATGGATCAAGTCGACAAAAAGAAAAACAGCATTTGGTAGGAAATGTAACGTAAGTATACTCAATATTTATTGGAAATAAAGTTAAAATGAGTTAACTAGCGTGTAAGAAGTAACTATCGTACATGACGCTGCAAAATGCGACCGATGTTAACAAAATGCACGGCAAATCTGTCATGGGAGCATGCGAGAGCAATCTCTCCCGCACGCACACCTATGTCCCGTGAATAAGTTGCGAACAATTGTTTGAGTTATTTCAAACAAACAATTTAAATACCATGTTGCACCCCTGATTGGAACCCCTGCTGTACACATACAGAATGAATCCATAACTGCCAGCTAGTAACCCCGGCCAATTGGCTTATTTGTGATTGAAGGGGGGTTAGCAATGCTGATTTCACGCAACCACTTAGCATCTTTGGTGTTCGCATAAAGGTATCAGTACGTGCATCAGCCGCCCTACCTCATGAAATTCTCAACTGTGTTTTTTTTATCAGAAAGGATTACATAGCTGAGGTTGCAATATCGATTACCGTTCAGCATAATCCTATAATTTTCCGGTCATAGCAGGATGTTGGTTTTGGGTGCACTTCTCTGAGGCCACCGGCAAAAATCGCGCTTGGCAGTTGGGTCGAGAGGAATTGTTAAAATCGGCCAAAATACCTATTACTTACGAGAGTCTGGTTGTCATCTGGTTGACTCTAGGTTGATTACTTTGAAAATCCATCTTGGGCGGTCAGCTAACTGGGTAAAGCTTGGTGGATTCCAGGCGTTTCAGTAGGCTGGGTGGGAAAACTGGACCCAAATGTAACTAAATTCACGGCTCTCGGTGGCCCCTCGTAACACAGTTGGCTGGAGCGTTGGCTATACTAAAGCTTTCCTCCTACTGTCATGGGTTCGAATCCCACCGAGGTTGAGGATTTCTTCACAACTAGGTCAAAATGAAAAATGAATTCGTAAGTAGTACGGGTAACGGTGGGGGTGTAGGGCTCAAAAGTAGACGGCAACTACAAAAATATAAACTAAAATTAAGTGTGATTGTTAACACTACTTATTATCTATCGTTCCCATTGTTTGAAATCTTCTTTCTTTTTTGGGTAAATGTAAAATTAGCAGCGGCGCCTTAGTCAAAGCCGGTTATTTTTTGCAAATTGCGTTTTGCTTATTTTTTTAGTTTTTTTGCACTCCTTTTATCCGCCAAATGGCAGCGTACAATGAGATTGCTGGCAGAAATTCATCTATTTTTTATGTCTTCTGGCTCTCCACCCTGTGCGTTGTCCCAGTCCTAAAACTCCCTCTACCACCGTTCAATGCATGGCAGTGTCCATGGGATAGTTCGAGTTAGTAGTGCGTACTAAACCCTATCGTTGCCGTAGAAAGAAGTTCGTCCTTCGGTTTTCAACGCACTTGGAAATTCGAATACATTTCATAAGAAACAGGCAAAAAAAATATTAAATCTTGCACATGTTTGGTGACGAGTTAGGTGGTTTTCAAGTCTTGTACTTTGATTTCAAAAAAGCTTATAATTATGAAAGTTTTTAAGACCACGACATGTCCACTAACTAAGCATCATGTCTGTTCGTTTGTTAACGCTGCTTATGACGTATGGAAAACCTTCTGAACCCTATATGGCATCTCCTTAATGATTTAGAGAAAGACATCGTTTTTCTTACACAAAATATAGTTTGGAAACTTTAGATGCAGGTGCAGGTCGGGTTAATAATTAACCGGAAATTTAAACAATTTTTAAAGCCCAAAAGCACCCTTTCCTTAAGTGTAAAAATGTGAAAAGACGCACTCTGCTACCAAATGCGTAGGGGAGAGAATTTTTACTATACATTTTTTCTATGAAATTTATTTGAATCCGCAAATACATCGAAAACCAATGGACAAAACTTGTGCTACTTAAATAGCTATTTTTACTGAGTGTAGCTCTTGCAGGCCGCCGAAGAGAATCTCATTCAAAATCCGGCATCCTAGCGTAACTGAAAGATTTAGGGATTACTTTGAATGCTAATCATTATCGCAACCCCAGTGAAGCAGTCCTTTGTAATCGAAACTGCATTTCAGAATTTTAGCTGACATTTTATGCGGCAGATCAAATATTATCCCCGAGGATCTACGTATGTCTGCGAAATAATTCTGAATAACCGTACATGTGAGGTCGTGTCAGTGTTCCCTAACGATCCAGCTCTTTGCTCAGCCTAACCAAGAATGGCAAACGTCGTCTTGTACTGCTGTGAAGCGGACACGCAAACAATTTCGAAGAAATAGAAGTATTTAGGAGACGGGGATGAGGCATACGCCAAGTCCAACAATACTACACATCACATAACAAAATTGATAAAATAAAGGAACGAATGATGTTTGGGCCTACTTTTGATGTGGGTAATATTAGCAAATCACTCTCATCCCTAGACTATGATGGAATGTTTTCGTTACTATCCCAAGGTTTACTTTTGCTCCTTTAGAATGGTCATCTAAAACCCGGCGATTTGATTATAAGAGTGGCTGATGTCCCCGTGCGCGGAATGGGTCCTGATCAGGTTGCCCGTCTTCTGCGGCAATCCATCATTGCGAACATGGTCAACTCAACAGCCCCCGACAATTCCGATGTTGCCAGCTCTCTGGAGGGCAGTAGTCATTTCACTCAGGACACACCCAGCACCTCTTCCGGGCCACACTCCATGAGTCCGACAGTGGCATCAACCATCACCTGCGCAGTCTTCCCACTCCGATTGGTCGTGGCAAGGGCAGCGATGGGCCATCCAGCTGACCTGGCAGCAATCCTAGCCCAACAGGAGGAACTTGTCAAAAACCAACAGTTTATCGGTCCCTCCTGGTAGGTCTTTAGTCGCCTAGGGTAGTTCATTCTGAGCTAGTCTTAGTTAGACGGAAACAGTCCAGATCGCATGGACAGGAATGAGCAACAGCAGTAGACATGTTTAAGTTGAACTGCTGCACAAACTGCAAAAGCAGCTGGTGCCTTCGAAGAAGGGCTCATAGTAGAGTGAGTGACCGATCTCATGAAATGTTGACTGAAATTCTGAAATGCGTTTTCGATTAGGAAAGATTACTTGATCGCGGTTGTAATACTGATTATCTTGTGGCATACTCTTATAACATTTCGGACTCGGCAGGATGTCGGCTTTTAAATGCACTTCTTTTCAATCTCCCGTAGAAAGCGTGCCCGGTAAAAAATGACTACTTAAGTAACAAGCATTTTTCCCATTGATTTTCGATGGTCTTGCAAATTCAAATATATTTTATAGAAACCATAAACAAAAATATGCTTTCTTTTAATCAATCAATAGAGAATCACGTCTTCTTTATATTTTATACTTAGGGAAGGAGTAAAATTAGGTTTTAAAACAAGTTTTCTAATTGCCGGATCATTTGGAGCCTGATCATTCGTTGCATTAGCGCTTAGTGATTTCACTCTACAAGACGCATGCGTTCCGCGTAAAGAAAATCCCATATTTTTCTATGTCATTAAAGAGATATCATACTGAGTCCATAAAATTTTGCAATGGACGCGGACCATGTTGTACATTTCATGAGGAGCAGTGGTAAACGGCCAGGTACGATGCTATGTGTATGGACATTTCGCGGTCTTAAAGTCTCATAATTAGACACTTTTTAAAACCGCAATTTACTCCTTCCTTAAGTGTAAAATATAAATAAGACGTGATTCTCTATTGATTGACAAAAAGAAAGCATATTTGTGTTTATGGTTTCTATAAAGTATATTTGAATTTGCAAGACCATCGAAAATCAATGGAAAAAATGCATGCTACTTAAGTAGTCATTTTTTATCGAGCACGCTTTCTACAGGAGATTGAAAAGAAGTACATTTAAAAACCGACATCCTGCCGAGTCCGAAATGTAATAAGAGTATGCCTTATGATAATCAGTATTACAACCGCGACCAAGTAATCCTTCCTGATCGAAAACACATTTCAGAATTTCAGTCAACATTTCATGAGATCGGTCACTCACTGTAGATTTCGCATTCCTGCCGATTTATGATGAGGTCTCATTCAAGATTTTTAATTGTTATCCTTTGCAGTATCATTCCCAGTGGGGCACTTGATGAGTCCCTGGACCATCTGATTCGTCTGATGCTACCAATGTCTGATCTGGAGGCTCTGTGTGCGCTCTGCGATGAGCAGAGCGAACGAAACTTCGATGCGGCCGGTAGACAGGAACCAGTCGATGCTGCACAGGCATCCGGCATTCATCCGACCGTAGACAGTCCGTACGACCTCGTGGAGACCGAAAGGCCTACGTGTAGCCCTCCGCCTCTGCTTGGTGACGATGGCTCCTCTTCACCGGCAACTAACTTGCAAGTACGTGCTTATGTTAGCTTGATTGTGCATTTGCGTTTACGTACGACCGCTTATTCGTGAGAGATGTTGAAATGTCATTTAGGGCTGTTTCGTGGAACGGAGTTCTCCGGTGGAGTACATACCCAAAGGACTGTATGCGGACGCACCAACGCTTGAGAACATTTTGTTCCTGCAATATACCCTAGGTGTGCTGACTCATGAAATGTGGACCGAAATTCTGAAATGCGTTTTCGACCCGAAAAAGATTACTTAGGTAGATCTTCCAAATTAATCATCTTGCAGCACGATTCTGTAATTATTCAGTTACAGCGGGATGCCGGCTTTCGAAGAAACTTCTTTCCTGCCGCATGCAATAACCATACTATGTAAAAAATGACTACCTAATTAGTATACATTTTTCTCCTTGATTTTCAATGCCCTAAAATTCAGTTATACTTCTTGGAAAACATTTAAAGATATTCATTCTTCTGTTCATTTGGCATAAAATTATGCTTCTTTCAATTTTATACTCAAACGAAGAGTATAATTCGGCTATCAAGAACTTTGTCAACTCCTGAATAATTTTTAACCCGATTTGCCGTTACGCTTATATTTAGGGTTTCCAAACTACAAGCCGTGTATTTTCCGCGTACGGAAAACCATAAATTTCTCTACGGTATTTAGAGGAGACCATGTGGGTTTCATAAAAGTTGGCAGTAGATTTGAGCCATATAGTGAATTTTACGAGCATTATCAGCAAATGCAGAGACAAGATATTTTATGGACGACATTTCACAATATTAAAAAATCTCATAATAATGGACACTTTTTAAAAACCAAATTAAACCCTTCGTCTGGGTATAAAGTTGGAAGAAAATGCTGGTTTCTACCTAACGAATAAAAGAATGAATTTTTTTGTGCATGTTTTCGATGAGAAAAAACTGGATTTTAAGGACATCTAAATCAATGAAAAATGCATGCTACGGAAGTAATCATTTTTACAGAGAAGAGTTTATGCATGCAGCCGAAAATAAGTGCGTTCGAAAGCCGGCAATCTGGGGTAACTGAATGATAACAGAATTATGCTGCATGATGGTTAGTTTTACCATCCTACTTAATTAATATTTTCGAAACGAAAACGTACTTCAGAATTTCGGTTCAAATCCCATGAGTTAGCACACCTACTATACGTCTACTGACGCATTCGTTGTGTTATCCGTTCAAGGGGTATTGACTTGCCTATGTTAGGGGTTATTTGATTTTCGACTTCGTAAAACGGATAACGCATGTGGAAAATTTTTCTTAAATTAATATACAAAGCGAACAGTGATAATACATGCTATACCATTACCACATTCTACGCTACAATTCCTGCTAGTACATCCGGCCGTCCTAAGGGCTGAATCAGATAGTGACGAACGGAGTCATAGTCCAGTCCGAGGGGTTCTTTGTCTTCTATTCTAGCATAGTTTATTAATGCTGCTGTCCTTTTCGTAGAATAGTTAGCGCTGGTACGTTTCTTGCGTTGATCACCCTATAGGGACCGGGATCGACTGGACAACCTCTCGAAATCACTGCTGTCCAGTCCATCTGCCATGCGTCAGTGGAGATTTCGACAGATGGATCAGTTCAGCCCACTCCTCCGAAAATAATTAACTGAAAGTAATTTACTTGTCTGCACAGGGTGATCTGCGCAAGAAACGTACCCAGGCTATCTTTCCTGCGAAAACCTGCAGTGTCATTAATCAACTTTGCTTAAAAAAATACAAGACGAACGACAAGTCGGCGTGGACCACGGCCTTGTCCACCCCAGTCTCATCCAACCCCTAGGACGCGGACACCTGCCAGCAGGGATAAACAGGAAGTTAAGCAGAATTTGCAAGCAAATTCATCCTTATGAGCAGGTGCACTGAGGCAGGGAAATAGGGTTAATTTGCTACTGGCTTCTGACTGACCTTGAATGCTTCCAATGCGCGTCATCTAGCTCCGAGTCCCGCTGAATGACAGCCTCCATCACGGTTAGTAGGCATGCAGTTGGGAAAGCTTTCAGTTCTCTGCATGAGTAATTACCTGAGCAGTGATGCATAAAGGTATGGATAGGCTGGAGGCAAAACCTGACGTATTATATCCTCGTTCTTTATTGGTAGTCCGATGAACTAGCTCATGCACTAGTAAACGCTCCCGTGAGTTGATCAATTTGATTTATCAAACTTGTCTGGAGTATTCATCTTGACCCAACTGTGAAAGACTCGGCGCCGAGTTTTCCACAGTTGGGTCAATAGGAATTATTCAAAATCTGCCAAAATATCTATGAATTACCTGAGCGTGGTAGACATCTGGTGGATTCCAGGTGAATTACTTAGGAAATCCTGCTTATGCAGTCAACGTACTCTATCAGATTTGGTGGATTCCAGACGTTGCAGTAGGTTGGGCTTAACTTGACCCCAATGTGATTATATTCGCGTCGTCCGGTGGGGCCTCGTAACTGAAGTGGTTAGAGCGCTGGCTGTACTTAAGCCATCCCCATACTGCGTGGGTTCGGATCCCATCGAGGCGCCGAGTTTTTCACAGTTTGGCCAATATTAATTATTCAAAATCTGCCAAAATATCTATGAATTAGCTGGAGTACCATGTTATATCTTATTCCTTCGATAGGGTATATATGAAAACACGTAAAGCTCGAATCTTTGGATAAGATATATTTTTCTCGCCTAATACTTCCGAATTTGCTAATGTCTGAAATTCGTCCTGCAGTGCCAAATGGCACGAGCAGGTTTAAGTCAAACGCTGTCTAAGATGCACTCGTTTATCGCATGTTTCTCCAATGTAGGACCAGACCAAATGCTCAAACTCGAACATTCAGCATCCCCTTTTGGCCTCCGAGGACGAATGTCTAAATGGTAAGAGCATGGGAAAGTTAAAAAATAGAGAGGCTAGGCGTATTTTATTGGCAGTATTAGCGTTGACATATTTAGATGACACGCTGTGTCCGTTCGCAGCCATATTATGAAGCTGAGCGCAGTTTATATCACCCCAACATACCTGTTTTAACTCGAGTACATGTGAACCTTGGAATTTCATGTCGTACTCGAACAGTTAGTTGACTCAAACAGTTTAATGTCCGCACCAAGTATCCACAAAAAGGCGAACTCGGGTTTCTTTGTCGTGGTTAGATGCGCACGTCGACTGCAGACTGGTTTTATTCTTTCAGAAAATCTACCAGAACAGGACTGGATCCAGTCTCCCCGAATTGGCCTGAGAGAAAATGTCTCGCTGACGGCCAGCGGAAGTCGCGAATTCTCTGTGGTATTGAAAAAGCCAACGGGGAAGCCGGAAACTAGCCTGGGAATCAAAATAATCGGCTATGTCTGCAACAGACCGGAAGAGAAGGGAAAAGGTGAGGCAGGCATTACTGGGTAATTAATTGACTCTTATCTGCCATCTCGTTGGCTCTTTTTAAAACTTGAACAACGCCTTAATTCCGTCGCTTGTTTCAGCTCTCACTGGAATCTTCGTGAAGGAGGTGTTACCAAATGGGCTTGCCAGTCGCTGCGGCAAAATCAGAGTGCATGATCAAATAACAAAGGTAGGCAGGTATAGTGTATTTTGACTAAATTACCAGTGATATCGTCTCGTTGCAGTGATGTTCTCATTGAAATACATTCTATGAAGGATTTAGCCCTAAGTTAATGTTAAACCGCAACGCTCAGGTCTTATAGGTCTGGCGGTTCCAAGCCTTGAACTTTTAGTATTTGACCAAGCATCTAGAGGGTATTAACTGCTAATACTATCATTTGGAAATATGCAACGACCAACGTGACATTGGGCGTAACGGAATCCCATATCTGCGACAGGTGGCTTGCAGTCTTTTTGGCCTCTAAAAAGGGCAAAAATCTAATTAAGTATGCGTCGTTTTCTTCTTGGTTTTAGGTCAATGGAATTAGTTTGATATCGCTGAGCAATAGGGAGGCTGCATCGCTCCTGAAGTCTGCTGGGCCAGTTGTTCGTCTTACTTTCCTGAGGCACGCCTGCGGAAGCCTGTTTGAACAATTAAAACGAGTTGGTGAGTACGTTGACATCAGTGGTCTTTTTTTGACTGCAAACTCTCTTCCCAAGACGCCAGACGAGTCTTAAAATGTGCTTCAATGCAAAAGACGGTGATCTATGAGTGCGCCGAAAATTCTAGTGAGCAGCTTTTAACGCAGAGCGGCACATGCGGAGCCCCGCTGGCAGTCAAGACACAATGAAAAATCGTAATGTTTTATTTACAGGACAATATTATTAATTTTATTCTAAGGAAGAAAGTTCAAAAAGTAAAGATTGTTGTTTTTCTGAGACATTTTGAGACCGAATGTAGTCTAGAGCGAGTAGGCGGGATTTATAAATCAACCTAGTGTCCGCTAAATACATAAATCTTCTCTCGTTTCTAATTATGAATTTAAACGTTGTATAGGCCACAGTTCCGCATTGTCAACTCGAAGGCACTTTTGGATGAAGAATGTCCTCAATTTATGCCAAGATACCCAAAAATTCGTTAAAGATCTATTGCATACATAAAGGATAGCCAACGAAACTTATTTCACCAAGACTCCCGATCGCCAGATTATCAGAACTTATAGGAAATGTTTCCAGCCGCAAAACGATCAAGGAAAAATAGTGCTCTGTCATGCTTTAATGCTCCTATGTCGAGCAATACAATTAATCACGAAGGAGTAGTACTGGCTAAGACGAGAAAAGCTTAAACTGCAAATTCAGACCATTTCTGTCGCTATCAGCCGGTCACAACCATCCTGAAAGATAAAAAAATACAAAAAACACTGATAGACACGAGTTGCCTTTGTATGTTCAGAGGAGTCCTGGAACGAACGAGACTTGAATTGGCTGAGGTCTAAAGGCTAACTCGAGACATCTTTCAGTAGACTTAGGCAGCTGAACAAGAGATATGCCCGTTGCTTAGTGGCTAAAGGCGTTGGACCTCTAGCTAGCAGGTCGCGAGTTCGAGGCCCAGGTGTTCCACACCTCGGGGTTGGCTATGACTGGCTAACGACGACTAATAAGCCAGAAATGACCATTCCAGTCTCTCTTGTCCTTGTCGGTTATAACATTTTGCTTAGAGCTGTGCCCGTCTAGACCTGGTTTTGGGATCCAGGATCAATAGCAGCAATTTACTGCGCCGTCTGTAAGGTGAGCGCCAGGTGCATACAAGCATGACGCACTCTGATTGGTCAGTCAGCTTGCCACCGACTCCAGATCAGCGGTCACGCATTCACCCTGACTAAGTAAAATGCGTGCTGTCGTTGTCGTTAATTCTGGTGGCCAGTCATCCAGCAGTTTTATTTCTAATTTTACAAGCAAATGTATCTTTAAAATCAGTATTACGTCAAAGCTGAGGAGGAATGTTAAAATGCAACTTGTGCCAAACCGTTTTAGGAATGCAGCATTCGCTTCAATGCCCCGTAGGGAGACTGCGAGAGAAACAATACAGCACTTATGCTTCGTCATTATTTTTTTGCCGCAATAGAAAAAAACAGATTATAAATTCTAGAGATATTTGTTGAAGGTCACTACGTGACTATAACGTCAGAATCATGACGAGCAGTGTTTAGAGGGAAGAAACGGATATTTTTGTGACCACCAGCTGGCAGATTTATAAATGTAAAGTAGAAGTGGTAGGCATGCCGAGACGATATAATGAAAAAGGAAGAGGTTCTTCGGAAAAAATCGAGTTGTACTCGTGAATTTCCGAATTGGTGACACCAACCCGTCGTCAGACGAAATGAAGAGAAAAGAGAGAGTGATAAAGTCACACTAGACTAGTAGACGCGACAGGGCAAACATTGACGGACGGACGATTAGCGAGTGATGAGGGATGCGGGCAGGCAGTCATGCTGGGTTCTGAGCCGGGAGGGCAGGAAGAAGGCTAGGGAACAGTTACGGCTCCCCGTGCTGGAGGGGAGGGAGAATGGTGGGTTGGTAGAAATGTGGGCGCCTGGATTAGTGGCCGCTGATGCGGCGTGGGGCTCGGCTTAGTGAGGCGTGATCTTAGGCCCTCATAATGGGCGTCTAGGTCAACGTGGCGGTTTATGCTGTCCGCGTTAGAGTGCCATGCCTCTAGGAATTCTCTCGCCCGCTTTGTGTTGGCCGTGGCGATGACCTCTGTGTTATCCCAATTAAAACGGTGGTCGCACTGGAGTGCGTGTGCAGAGACGAGTGACAGTGGATCACGGCGACGGACAGCTAGTTTGTGTTCATTAATACAAATTCCCAGGCGTCGTTCTGTATGACCAAAATGTACGCAGGGACAGTTGGCACACGGGATGCGATAGATGACGTTAGTCTGTTCCTCTTTGGGGATAGAATCCTTTACTCGAGTTAAGACTGTGCGCAACTAGGATGCAGGCTTGTGGGGAACGCGGATACCGAACTGATTTATCTGACGGGCGATTATTTCTGAGGTCCCCTGCATATAGGGCAGGGAGAAGAATTGCTGGGTCACGGTTTCTCCTTCTGAGGAGGGGCCTCGAGGTTGTGCCTGACGCATGAGGCAATTCTTCACAAAACTGACCGGGTATCCGTTAGATCGAAATAGCCGATATAGATAATCTAGTTCTTTCTTCAGCAGATCGTCATTGCTGCAATAACGGTAGGCCCGGTGGAAGAGAGTTCGAACGCAGCTTTTTTTGTGAGCCGCAGAGTGATTGCCTCCATAATAGAGGATGATCTCAGAATCAGACCCTTTTCTGTGGACGCTGGTTGTGAGATTACCGTCGTCTAGCCTTTGTATCTTTACGTCCAGAAACGACAGACTGTCTCCTACTGCCTCTTTGCGGGTAAATTGTATGACCGGAAAGACATCATTAGCCTCTGATGTAGCCTTTCGACTTCGAGGTTCTTTATTACGACAAAGGTGTCGTCGACATAGCGGAGACACATTTTGAGGTTGAGAGTTTGAAAAACCTCATATTTTAGTCGCTGTAGCACTAGTTCGGCGAGTAGACCGGATATTGGGGAGCCCATTGGACTTCCCTTTACCTGTTGGTAGTACTTATTGTCGAACTGGCAGAGTTTGAGCCTAAACATGTCAGAGTGGACTGAAAATCTGGGCGCTTCTCTTTCACTGTAAAAGCCCACTTCCTCTCCTGCGTCAGCAAATTATGAGATTCTCAGAGCGTACTGTCATGACACACCAAAATGTCTTTTTCCATATTTCGGATAAAAATTATATCCAATTGGAATTTATACGTGGAAGTTCACATACCCAGAACGCTTCATCAGATCGGGCAGGAAATGACTTATCTAGTGAATACTAAAAGCTACTCCTCAGAATCTGTAGACGTCTAAAAATGCATCCCCATACAGATGCAGAAGGAAGTAGAGCAAATACTAATTGAGAGGCAGTATCGACAAACCCAAAGGAGACTAAAATGTTAGTGTTTGGTTTTTTTCGCGACTGTCAACCAGTCCAAACACAGCCCAGGAAAGCCCTGAATTCAGGTTTATGCCTGAACGGGCAAACTTTCACCAAAGACATTCGGGTGGGGCTTTAAAGGAGCATTCATGCCGTTGCTTTTCTTTTACCCCCAACAAAAAACTCGTTAAGTTTAGGAAAATCAGAATATCAGAAAATGGCTATATTGCAAATCGCCTAAATAGTGTTGACTATAAGGGTGCATGAGGACGCCGAACGCATGAAAAGGAGAAGGCAATGAAAAATAATGACAAGAAATTACTTGGATATCAAGAAAGGTCAGATTTTGTCCAAATCTGATCTGTTTTCCTTAAGTAAAACTGAGTTGGACTGAATCCCTCTTCAACAAATGGTTTTCTGCGCCCCACATCAATTCAAAAACACAACTAGCGTCACCAAATGTGTGACATACTTCTCACGCAGATTTCGACCACATCATTTCATGAGTTAGATTACCTACTCCATGAGTTCTCTCTATCTCTACCATCCGTTAATTTACCTAATCTACTGTATCGACAGCATCGATGAAGATTTCTTTACTGCACAAATCGATTAAGTAGCAACTATTTTTGACGTTGTGTGTTAGGCGGGTCTAAGTGGTTACGCTGCATGCCATGTCAGTCTTCCATGTCACAATTCTAATGCTGCGGGGAGGAAGGACTTGACTTGTGTTCGTTCATGTTATTAATAAGAATTATCTTCAGTAAAAGAAGAAATATACTTTAGATTTCAGCCCATATTTTACATTTTTGCAAAAAATCGCGGTAGAGTTCCAGAATTCAGAAACTTACGAAAATATTTCATTTAGATTTTTATGTCATAGCGGGTCCTGGAGAGTGCGCATTGTGGCTAGCTAGTTTCAGTAACTTCAAACAGTATTAGGAGGTGCCCTGTTGTTGTAAATCTCCGATTCAGGAAAATCAGTGTTCAGCTTGCTTGAGAAATATGTGACTTTTTCTTAAGATCGTCGTTTCCAGAAGCCATCATGTAGCGTTCACTTTGTTAGACTTCGTCCCACACAGCTGTTGCCTAAAGGACCCATGCTACTCATAATTCAAGTGGAAATATTTTGCGCCACTGATAAGCCCAACCGCACCTGTTTTGTGCTTTTAGCAAGCCAAGATTTCAGAACCGTGTCCACGTCAGCCAAGTTCGCCAGATTTCGCGAGAAGATGGCCTCAAACACCCTGCCAGCGCCTCGTCAACGACGACACGCAAAGTCTGACTTCTTGCAGGGAACTTCGAGTTGCCGTCAGGGCGTCGGAAGTGAACCCCCCATGCCGGCGACAGTTTGCCAAGTATTAAGTGATCTTATCTTTACTCCGCTTCTTACGTCCGACGATGACCTGTCCGATGGCTATAGCAACGAAAACGTCGGCGAGGCGTGGTTCACAGCAGCCCAGAGTATGCCCCATCTATGCTACCGAGGGCTCTCCATTGTTGCTTCCTCCTCATCCTCTACCTCTGCCGCTTCGATGGACAGTATACACACAAATGAGCCTACCTCTACGCACCCTGCCGTCCTGAGAAGCCGGACGGTTGTAGCAAACAGTGTATCGCCCACGCTCAATAACTTACAGCTTCTGGGCAGTAAAGGCTCTGAAGCAGCAACCAACTCCTCTAAGTCGCTGCAACAGTTCAGGCTCAAAAAGTGGATGGGCAGTCCGTTCGATCCCATAAACGCCGTTGCGCATTTTGGTAAGTATTATATTCTCAACAACAGGGTTTTGCCTTTTTTTCCGGGATGGCACCTTTCTATTTCTGAATTCATTTTAGGTTTTTCACTTTCCCCCCACGATATTTCAAATCGACAGAAAATGAGCATTAATTTATGCTCGCTGTTACTCATTTTGGGCTGGTAAGCATGGGGCAAACTAAAATGCACAGCAGTAATTTAGGGGTCTCAGGTTTATTCACGGAAATCCATCACCGAGGCTTTAACATCAAGAAATAATTTGTTTAGGGTGGGTTGCCTACAATGCGAAGAGTGTCATGGTCGCTTTTTTGTCTATATGTGTGGGTAGGACGTGGTAGTATGGGCCTTCCGCGTTACGGGTGACCTAGTGCTAAATTTCACAGGTAATCACAAGCAGGCGTATGGTTGGAGGGTTAGAATTAGGGTTAATGCTAGGTTACAATAATATTCATCCCCGAAATTTAGCGCGGAGACACCTGCCGCAGTGATGAGCAATCGACATTCCCGTGCCCAACTGCATGAACGATATCATGGAGCACGCGAAGAAATTGTTTCCAACCATTCTGGACATATCTTCCAATGACTTCTGAGACGATTCCTAGAAGACCGTCATGCAGTATAAAGAATCGACGAGGCCCCCTACACGTGGAATAAAATAGAAACTCGGCAGCATAGTGTTGGTCATTGAAAGGTAGTTTTCGCGGCAACACACGCGCCAGTTACATCATTGTGCCACTAGGATTAACTTCCTACTCGAACTTTTAGATTACACTCGGGAACGGCCCTGAATACAGCCGAACAAGCAGCCACAGCAGAATGGGTCTGAGAGAAGGCTGCCGGACCAGTAATTTGACCGTTCTAGATAGCATTGGGGAGAAAAAGTCTTAAAAGCGGTGTCACATTTGTGTGGTCAAATTTCAAAGAAGTTTACGAAAATGAACATTAGCAATTGGTGTCCATTTCGGAGAATTTGACTGACATGATTGTAACAAAGTCGCCCACCGACTGTCTGATGACTTTTGCACGGTCGATTGGTCCAATTTGTATAAAAACAAGTTACGGAGGGGAGAGTTGCCAAACGTACGACAAACGCAGTGTTACACATGACGAAGTGCCGAAGGAATAGATGTTTGCAATGGGACAGATGGAGTTGAAAGTTGATTGCGTTGGTGACATCCAAGGCTGGGGATACAGGTTGTGCAGGTTTAGCAGGCATAATATGCCTCTGCGCGTATGGTACAGTAGGTTTGAAAGTGCGGAGATTGCTAGGATGTCTTTTTTACAGTTAATTTCAAATCGATCCCTCGCAAGTGGATTGTAATGCATGAACGACCTCATATAGAGAACGATCTAAGCAAAACCTGTGCAACAAAGGGAGGATTAATTATGGTTGGCATGCCAAAATAGTCCAATGTTTAATTCAAGACAATTGCGTTTAAGTCTGTCCGTCACTCCGTAAATGTGGGGTCTCTGGGAAAAGCCAAGATGTCCGAGAATTTGGTGGCCATTGGCCAATCACATCACAATACCCTTTTAGGCGATATGAAGCTCATGACAATTATGCAACAGAGACTGAGTGAGAGGAAACAGAAACAGAAAGTGAAACATTTTTAACTTTCGGTTTTATGCGTTTTTTGCAATCTCCGAATACAATATTTTGAATTAGGATTATTGACCTTTCCGGGGATCAGCCGTTTGTTGGAGCGCGACTTTGATTAGTATACATCATAGTGAGATCTTCCTATATCAGACACCGCATTCAAACATCTGCCAGTGTATTTCTCGGTCGCACGGAATACATTGTTATCACAAAGCTTGACAAAAGAATAAGCAGTGGTCTACGAAATATGACAATTCATTCTGATAATATCCAACGACTACTTCATAAATCTTATTAGACGCAAATGAAACTACTAGAGCATGCATGGTTGAAAATTCCTGCTTCCTGATGTATCTGTTAGCCCAGTTACCAGATTTTGAACGTCGTTTTCAAATTTGTTATTTCAGTTGTAACAATGACCTCCGTACCAAGTGTTAAAATATGAAGTCTCGTTAACAAGATACTCAGCATCGAACAAGAAACACCGAAGTCGGGCTGACGGCTTCTGAGATTTTATTAGACAGTCGCCCATCTGAAGATTTCCCACAGGGATCCTATTATTAACCCAGTTACATGGTTTTGCTCACAGTGGTCGTGGGACGGAACCTGGGACATGACATCCGGCATGTACACCCACATTTGGTGCTCGTGTATTCTGGCTTATGGTTGATGGTCGCTTGTTCCAACGCAGACGGCGCCATTTAAGTACATCGTAATCGAAAGTCGACTATTTCGACACTTTGGGCACATTAACTGGCAGTATTGACAGATAATCGCTCATTGATATACTACGTTGGAAGCGTTATTGTATGAAAGTTTTGGATACGAGCCCGTGTTTAAGAGAGAGAAAAGGAACTGAAGACGTTGCAGTTCGTATCAAACGTTTACGTTCTTCACAGCAGACAGTCAGACGCGCTTTGACGCATGAGAGTGAGCCAACAATGGGGGTTTGTAAGCAGCCATCTAACGAGATAAATGGATCACACCATGACTCATCCATTCCCACCTAAATGTGACCTTTGTAACACCCTTTCTTGTGTGGAATTCTAGACATCCATAGTAAGCTATGGCACGTATGGGTAAGAGACCAGTACATGGACTATATGCGTGAAGCGGTTGCTTAAATCTGCCATGCAATAAGTCCACGCTGACCTCGGTGATCTGAACATTGTCTTATTATTAAAGCCTATTCGATGTGAGAAGGGACCGTGGGGTAGCTGCCGAGCAAGGCTGCTTTCCTATAAACAAATTTATGCGAAGGGTATATCCGCGACAAACCCTTGGGTCAATGATGGAACTCGTCGCTTACAACGACCGAACTTCAGCACGCATTTGGTCTGCTATCTCGCGAAGACATGGACCTCAAAAGCATATTGATCAATGAGAGCCCAGAGAACTTATAATGATATTATATGCGTGATATGACACATTTGGTTGCCGATAAGCTTGAAATGGTCAACCAGCTGGACTCCTAAACTGGTGGTACGCTATATGACTTATTTTTCGCTGATGACGCTATCATGTTCGGTTGGCAGGTGTTGATATCATTCATGATCTCCTAGGCTTTGTCGACAAGTAATACGAGAGCTCGTCATAAGCCTTCTCAGACCTTTATCTCTGTGGACCAGCGTGCAAAGGCTCGCATATTGACATGGGGCCTGCTCAAGCAATCTCGTGGCAGAAATCTGTTACAGCTGTACCGCCGTGTAATTAACACCTCAGCCGACAGTCTTGATTGTGCCGTGGGGGAACTTATTGCAAGTCGGGGACTGTATATTCAGTTGTTAATTCGAGATCGATCTTTACCTCGCCAATTTATATTCATCCGTTTTCGGCAATGGCAGTACACTGTTTATGGCATTTTCGGCGGAACCTAAAAACACCATATGCAGCATACAGACTACGAAGAGCTTTTCCCACTTGGATTTCAATTCGTGCATACTCCAAGATAGGCGGTGGGATGAAGAGTTCAAGTTGACAGCGATTCCAGTTCCCAGTGACCCGAAGAGTCTGTTAATTGGCCGTGTAGCATCTCGTGCGAGTATAAGGGGTCGCCCTGAACACAGATGATTATAGACGGATCGCAAGTCAGGTTTGCCTACGGCGGACTTTTGCATGCTCTGTGGCAGCCGCTGGCGTGACAGTAAATGCGATTCTATTGCGCCAAACTTGCCCAGAGATTATTTCGTACTCAATGTTTCGTAGTCAAATTTGTAAATAAAAATTAAAAATGTCTGGTCAGTATAACCCACTTGGATGATATGTCAGAAAATATCAAAAGGTTGTTCGTCAGGCAATAAGAAGCTACTCTCGATATAAAATGCTATGCGGTCGCCGGTGTTGGCTGCCAGCTTACTTCCAATCGACTTTAGTAAATTCAGTGCGTATGGCGAATTCAAACCTTACAAACACAAAAGACCTGAGAGTGCCCAGTCGGCAGGTAACTTAGAGGCAGCAAAGCAGGGGTCGCAACCCAAATTTTACAAGCGAGATTAATTAACTTTCTTTTTAACATGTGCGTTTTTAAAGAAGTTGCTTGTTTGACTGCAACAGGGTCCATCAGTAGTGCAAAGTCAAAATCAGCGGATACTCGTCACTTTCTCAAAAAAAAATTTGCATGAACATCACGGTGAAACGTGCAACAGCGTCAGCGACTTCGATAATCCAATCGCGGATATATTCTTCCGACCGAGCCACAGTCATAAATTCTCCAGTCACACATAAAGGCTGCTTATTTTATGTCTGTCGTTCTGAACCACAGGAAAGCGAAAAAAGACAGTTTCCTACGTAAACCTGTGGCTGTTCAACTCGGTTTGGCCGGACGTATTAAAAGTCATGACCCTGAAGTTTGCTGGTCATAAGTCTGATGAAATGCAATTTTAGAGGCGTCTGCTCCATTTTGCCTCTCAGACTTAAGTTTTGCTCAGTGGATTGACATCATGCACGTCTCCCTTTTGCTCAGAGATCATTAAGAATACGGTAGTTGTAATGATACTTTGTCAACAACTTCGCTGCGGACATATAACTTTGAAAGTGTCAAGCAAACACTGAAGAAAATTGCGTCAATTTAAGTAACTTCGAATCGAAGTAGCCAATGTGCTTTGGTTTTCATTGGGATTCATGCAGTGACAAAAAGGTGCAAATATAATGAGCTGTTTTCGACCATATAAGTTCGGTTTCATGTGGTGGTCATGGTCGTGTGACGTTTACAGCGTCTAAAATAGACAAACAAATGGAAATAAAACACTAAATCACAGAAAATCCTCGAAATAGGATTTTTGCAAAAAGTTACCTATATAGAAGACCAAGGGGCGCGAAGGAAAAAGTGGGAAGCACAAGATCCTGCAATGAAACCCGGAGGAGATTACGGTCACTTAAGGGAACGAAAACGTGCTGAGAGTTCTTGAGTTGGCGCACAAAGCTACAGGAAGATGCGCGGGCACGAATGCGACATCCCGTCTGCCCACCTTCCAGATATTTTGTCAATGACTGCGTTTTAGATAAATGTGCTCGCACAATCTAATCTTATAACTGTCTCGTATTTACGGCATCTGCACGCTGTCATGTATGTTGTGGGATAGTGCTTTAAACATATTAAGATTTCCATTACGATCCAAACATCAAGGAAGTTTCGTTCCATAAACTTACACGATTTCCAGAACTTCTAAATCGGGTAAGGTAAATGAAATTGATAATAGTGAGCAGTCTTGAAGAAAGTTCCCATGATAACGAAAGAGTCCAGGGACGAGGAAATGTTGCCTTGGCGGCCTATAATATCCGATGATCGGACAGCGGCAAACCGGCGAAAACATCGCTTCGTTGGCACGTGGCTGTCATTGTCGACGAGGATATTTTGTCTCTTTAAAAATCTGTCGAACGTCTTTGTGAATTTAACTATAGATAGCATGTAGGACCCACTGTTATACAGTCATATGAAAACCGAGGACGACATCTGGAAACTGCATTTCGTAGGTAATTGATGTGGGCCGAAATGATAAACCGCCAGGGTCAAGGCCAATTTTTAGCACTTCCATGTATAAAAACCGAATTGCGATAGTTAACACATTAAAAATAGTGTAAGTCCGTCTGATTCCTCTTAAGACAGAATGGTGTCTAAAGTACTTGTCAGATAGCAGTCAGTGCAAAAACATGTTGACGGGTCTCGTGTGATATGCGAGTAATTCCATAAAATCATACCTATTGCCTGACTCACAGACTACACTTTTTGGTTAATCCAGGAGGATTGCGACGGACAATCATCCTTTAAAGAATGTATGCACACAAGGACATGAGATTGCACACTGTCTGGAGAAGTTGCCCGAGCTTGCAAATGTAACTTGCTCCGGGGTTTTTAATGAAAAGCTAATGTGGCCGAAAAAAGTTTTTTATTCCGACTTTCTTTTTGTTCCTGTGTATAAACATGAGTCTTTACTCGAATCTTGAACCAAACCGCCCACCTCTTTGCTTGAAAAACCCTCTTTGACGCAACGTGTTATTTAGCCCCTGCGGTCACATCGCTGCATTTGCGACGCCGGAGTTCAGTATGCCGAAAAGAAAGTCAATACGACATTACGTGACAAATATAATAAGTTTTGCCAATTCCCGATCGAAAAACGCCTTTAAAGATCGTTCCTCAAAGTACTTTGGTGAGCCTTCGCCCCATAACCGTTTGGGTATTCATATTTATACTGTCTCATGTAGTACATAGTTGTTTTCGTGTCCGTTACCCTCTCTAGCATCATAATTCATCAAAAACTACAGGTTTAAGCAAGGTAGACTCTTTGGTTGCGTTTACTAAGTCCTGTTGCCCCATGTAACTGCTGTCTACGCGCTTATGTATCTATTTCGATAATTGGACTCATCGTACACTTGAAACTGTGCTGGCAGATTAAATTACAGAGGCGTAATTATCACCACAAAGGGCAAATCTGTCTAGCGTCCATCTCAGGCAACACAGAACCGTCCGGTGTCGTTGAGCTGAAGTCTCCGTTAGCCCACGTCTCCTAATACCCGTGTGTGGGCCGACATAATACGGCCAGCCATGCGTTTTACAATAAGCTTACAACAATGGCACTTTCCAACCCCTTTTCTACCCCTTGTAGAGAATAAAATAGTAGATGTCTGCGAATGGTTAAGCCTGGTGCTTTTTCCTCCTTGCCACCGTCGTCATTGCCTCGCGGAGGATACTTATTCCAGAGAAAACCACTGTACAGGACCTCGTAGATAGTTAAATCTGACGACTTCTAAGAACTGTTGACAGTTGTGTCAGCCATCGAAATAAACCTTGGATCCTATACAGATATGCCTCTCACTACCGATTTCTTTCCACTCATTCTTCCATATTTACGAATTTGTCTATTTGAGCCTTGTTTCCCGCAGATCCCCCAAGGACTCACAAATGTTAATCCTGCTTTGGTATCTAAGAATGTGTCAGCAGATTTTGTCAACGGATCATTTATTCACTTATACACAGATAGGGGAGTTGTTAATTCCGTTGTGGGCCCTCGTGCCCGAGTTGTTCACCTTACGGTCCCCATACCTATGCTCTTTTTGCGTAAGATAAGTAGAGGGGTATAAGGGATCTGATCTTAATAAATCATGCCGGGGTTTTAAAATCGACAGCTTAATTATTCAGACGCCTAACTCGTGCCGCCCCTTTGGACATGACACTCATCATCGTTGAATCTGATTATTTTTTGATCTTGATCGTTAGTCATTAATGACATAAATATCCCGACCCCGTTTACCATAAGACTCGCACAACTCTGTGAGTACAGCACAGACCGCAAGAAGCTGGAAGATATGCCGATCTAGTTTTGGTGATAACCAGTACAATTAGCTATTTGTTGTACAAGCACTTTCCCTCCTGCGAATGATACTAAGATTGCATAGCCAAAATTCAGGCGTACGATGACCTGTACCTGATAAACCAGCAAACGTCATCGGGGGTGCGGCTGGGAATAGTAAGGTTATGGATGCTAGTACGCGGAAGCGCTGCCGGCTAACATGTTGGGCGACAGGGCTAGGGATTTTTTCGACCTCCTGATGTTGGAGTGACGGAGGGACTGTGTTTGTCAGTCACAGTGATTGAGGTTGTTGTTTACTGTTTTCCCGATGAGGATGTTTTCAAGTAAAAGCAAAAAATGGGGCGCATGTTATACCGTTTTTAAGTCTTTGCCTCATCTCACAGCCTCCACCTTTAAAGGTCTGTTCAGCTTGTACTACTTTATTTTATGGTATAACTTACTAACTAGAAGTAGTCGAGAACAGTCTGCGCTGTTTAGCTCACTCGCATGAAGACGCTCCCTAATGTAAGCCTTGTTTGTGCAAGCTCCACACCGTACCATTTGCGTAACCAATTTGTCTGGGTCTAAAAGGACATTGCAAACTGACTCTAGCCTCGCCACCTATTGAAGCCGCATTAACTTTGTCACTGCTAAATCCCTGAACTGAAGGCTCAAATGTTGTGATGCGTTGCCGATAAGGATCAGGAACACCCAAATCACGATTTCTGACCTGTCGGCCATTGTCAACCGGCGATGCCCTAACCTCAGGTACTGACGTATCCGAGATTTTGGTCCCCATCCAATGCGTTATTGGACATTTAAGCCCAAGCCCTATACACCCGAACTGCGTGAGTATTGACGGCCATTTAAACAAACATCGTCATTTCTGTATCCCTAATTTTGTTCAGCAACGTTTCCTAATCGCTGCGCGACAGCTCGGATGGGCTGTAGACTGAGAACTCCAAGGCGAGGTTCAAGTTCCACTATTCGTCCTGCGATCAAGATAGATTGGAGAACCGTTCTCATAGAAACTTCTAAGCATAGACTTTCTCTAAATGTGGTTTACTGTTACAACAGATCGTCGACAACTACACTTCCTCTTGTCGGTTTTCGATCGAATGCATACAGCTCCCGTTTGGATCTGGGAAGTTTCGAATCACCAAGCCATTGTACGCAAGATTGACGTCTAGAAAATGTCCTCTAGTCATCGATCCGTCACCTGGAAAACGCAATGCGGTCGTTCACCACGTGGAATTTAGGTTTCACAACTTATTTGCTACCATCGGTGTGTAATTTATGTTAATTTGTCCAAATTTTGTATTGCCTGTCCAAGTTTGTCTTTATTACATGAACTTTTCCTCCCTACGGTCATTATCATTTCACCGGGCTTCTTATAAGCACTGTGCTCATCGAATGCGATGTCAGCTGTTATCCCGCGTTACCACTAGTGAATTACATATAATTTGGCTTGCAGAGAGATAGATTTGCGCAGCACTTATAACATTCACTTTTCGCAATGATCGCGTTTTAATTAGAGGACAATACCAAAACAACTTGAAATGGGTGTGGACGTCTTACTGACTCATACTAACAAGCATTGTTTGGTGTGTTCATGAATCTCAGCATTTTCACGCACGTAAGCCACCTATGTTACTACTTATCGTTGTTCCGAGCCTTCTCATGGCAGTTAATCCAAAAACTCAGGAAAGAGAAGTCTGCTTATTTGTCTTGCTTCGGGCTACTCGGCATCCCCACAGATATGAATAAATGAGCGACCATTATTGGGAACTCGCTGACGAATGAAAAGGCCTCCTAGTTTACCAGCCGCGGATTATGCCATGGCTTTGCGGGACACCGATCCGGCAAATGGTTTGCCTATAAGTAGAGTCGTAAACTAAAACGCTCTCTCATGACCCGTCACCAAATAAGCCCTACTCTGTCGCCTTCCGTCTATGAATTAATGCCACCCAATCGATAAATCGGGTGAGACCTCGCCTGCGCCATATGCTCCATGAATGCTGACGACTCGTGAAAAGTGAAACCGTCCAAATCATCCTTAATGCTATCGGAAACAGCACAAACACTAACAGGGTCAGCACAGTCAGCCCGGTCATTTTCGTCTCTTCCCTGTGTTAAGATGTCCCCCTCTATCGTAGCATTATTTGAAAGGAATGTAACACTAATACAAGTTGCCCACCAGAGTAGGAACCACCATATGATCATGATGCCTTAGTCGCATCGGCGTAATTTTAAATATTACTATCCGCTGTATCGTATCCCTGCTATAATTTGGTGTTTCAACACTGAAATCTTTTAGCACTCTTCCGAGCTTCGAATTCTAAATGATGGGTCCCAAACTGCGTTTCTAAAGAACCTCATTTTGATATACCATGCTTGCAACATGTGCAGCCTGTTTCAGTACAAGGGTGGACGCTACTTCATCCATTATTGTTGAACTATCATGCCAGTTTTTATTTATTGTCTCCATCGGGTTAAAAGCTGGCATTAGATTGTAAAGCGTGTATTAAATCGAAAGACAGATGTGAACATACCAAGGGGCCTGATCAAATTACTATTCATATTGTAGATCAGAGGCTCTGTCAGTTTCTACATCTTATGGCCTCGTGATACACTTATTCTAAGCCATTATTTTTATTCCTGTTTCTATGTTTTTCTTCCATCCACTGGTGTACGACTTCGTGATGCTGTCAGCCTGAGCGAGTTATCCACTTTGGCCCATAGTTTGACACCACCACAAACCAGCTGCATCAAGTATACACGCGTCTACGCTAGTTTGTGTGTGTGCGCTCTTGCATACATACTTTTATGTTAATTTATTCGCACGCCCGCGTTCCCACGCGCAACAAATGAAAAACCACACCAGGTAGCTACTTTTCTGTTTCTTTTTGTGTTTTGTATGTGAGCACCCATGATGCCTCATCCGTGTCTGTCTGTCTACCAGCCTGTCTTTATCAAACTCGGTACTCATCTGTTCTCATCTATTCTTGCATGGTGCTTTGTTGGCAGATGACATGGAAGTTCAAGTACGTTCCCAATATCGTAGGGATATACTCAAAACGATCCATTGAAATAACATAACTCACAAAGGCAAGGGAGACTAAAATGACCATTTCTGGCTTACTAAACTAATCAACCAGCCATACCGAACCCCCCAGCCCCTGAGGCTCTAACCCGCGGGCCTGTTGCTCTGTAGGTTGCGATCGGCTATGTTAGCAATTGTAGGGAAGCGGTCACCGGTCGCGTTACTCGTTCCATTGGGCCGTGGGCCTCAGGCTAGAGCCCCGCGAGAAGCCATACGGCGATAGCAGATTTGAACAGAAGCTGCCGCAATTTTACGTCCCTCATCCTTCTGGGCCCGTCGGCGAGGCACAGTCTACACGCCCGGGCGCGGGCTCGGACACAGTTAAGTAGTCCGTCTACGTGTGCTACATAGGATCTGATCCCCGCACGGTGTACCGGGTTTCTCACTCACAAGACAGCGCCCCAGATCTCACGTGTGTGAGAATACCACAGAGGCCACAATCGGAAGAAGCCATTGGGTGTAACGGAACAGTCACCCACACATACACAGTAATGGCCGCGAGGATCGAGTTACCGCGGCCGTTGGGGGCCTTCCAAGCCACACTAGTATCAACCATCACTAGCACTTCTAATTCCACCGGCATCGCCACTGCGCCACAACAAAACCATCATCGTCGGCATATCCATAAAAATACGGAGAACAGAATATCGGACTGGGCGTTTTGACCGCTATACCATGTGAACAGTGGAAAGCTGCGAGAACGAGACATGCAGACTACTTCTTTATCTGAAGCATTTTGTCCCCGGTACGAAGCTGAAGTAGGCAAGAAGGGCAGGATTTATTGGTACTTCAGTTACTTCGTTATCTTTCATAATGGAACACGCGGAGCTGAATCACACGAAATAGAACAAAAGCAGGGATTTTACAACTGGATTTCCGAGAAGGAATAGGATACACATTCCATGAATGCGCGAAGCATGGTCGGCACGGACAATTGTCTGTTAGTCCATCCGCTGTTGACTTAACGACAAATGATGCTGCGATGTTATCTGTGCACACATACGATGTGTCCAGTGGCCGGCAGTAAGGAGGTTTCGGCATCGTAGATGAGCTGGCACAAGATGCACGTTTACCCGGTTGCGCTGAGTCTGCGCGAACTCATGACTATTGACACACATGCGTGGAGAACAACTTTGACCCAGACCTTAACGTAGCGTCAGCTACTAAATCCGGTCCAATCATCAGTTTTCTGACAGCCTCGAACATTCGACCTGCGCATGGGAGAGGGATGAGAGAGTGTGGCTGAAACTGAAGAATCATTAAAAATCAATCAATTACCCACTATAATGAATCTGAAACACCTAAATCTATTGCGGTGCGCCAATAATAGTCGCTCAGAATGTTGCCAGCTGACGAGACAACTCGGTTCTTCTTAGGATTGAGAACGGGACTGGAATGGCTAGCGCTGGCCTATTAACCATCATCAGTTAATCCTGCCCAACCATAGGCTTGAAGCACCTGCTGCGCAATACCACACTCTTTTGGTTATTACTTCAATGCTCTAACCCCTCGGTCTATACTACTAGTTACCGCACGACTTCGTGCGGGGCTATAAATGGAGTCCCAAGGCACAATGGGACGAGCAGGTCCCGTAACGCAATCAATGAGCGTCCCTCTACGATTATTGGTATGCCAATCGCAACCTGCAGGACAGCGATCCCATGGCTCAGTGGTTAGGGCGTCGAACTTCTAACTACCGAAACGCAGGTTCGAACCTCAGGGGCTTTTGGACCTGAGGTTCAGTGTGACTGGCTGATGACGCCCAGTCAGAAAGAAATGACCACTACAGTCTCCCGTGTCCTTGTTGGGAATGTTATTCTGCGTATTTATGTCTGCGGGTCCTTAAAGAGTGAGTGATCCATTCCTACACACACATGCACGCGCTCCCTCTCTCTCTGCGCTCCATCGATGTTCGGAATGTTAGATGTCAGACTTGCGTTGACATCGCACCCCCATCTCAAGCCTTGTTGTACTTAAGTGCACTTGTGTTTACGCAGTCGCCTACTTCGGCTCTGTGTGCCAGTATGAGTGCCGACTGACGTCAAAGACGTAGCACCAATCGCATGCACCTCATACTTGCACTGTGGTTACGCACTGTCCTCTGTGAGGTTTGTGTTTGAACGTTTCTGTCAACAGGTTCAAAATCCCACCCTCGCGTCCTACTTCCCTCAACGATAACCTCTAGCACATTGCCCGCCGGTGATTGCTTTCTGCAGTACTTGGGAACCCTACTCTGACAAGACTTTGACAGTGGGAAGGTTCTGTGACATGTAGCTTTGCTGTGGGAACCAGTGGTGCCATGAGGTAGGACGATGCTTCTGTCGCAGATACTTTGTTGGCTAGTATAGAGAGCCCGACCAATCCATTTGAGTAAGCAGGCTCTTGCTTGCAATGCCTCCCAGCCCCTGTTTGCCCTCGCGCCGGCGCTCTAACAGCGCACCAGCTGAGGTCGTAAAAAGTTAAATGCGGCGTCGACGCACCGAGAGTTCGTACTTTGTCCCTCTGCAATTGAACCTATTTGCGTTAATATCGAAGTCAACTGATCTGCTCTGACCGTGGCTTGAAGCACTTTGCTGATGAATAAATATTTGCAGTTTACTATCTGGGGACAGTTGAAATTTAAAGATAATTTTCAGACAAAAGGAAGCAAGAAATCTTATGTAAACTGTGTCCTATTGCGCGGAACTCTTTGCCTCCCATTTAACTGAGTATATTTACCCGTGCGTAAGTAATAGCAACTCCAGCACATCATTTGAATGTCTCAACGTGTTGGTTAAAAACGTCGCGAGTGGGACGTTGGTCTCCATAGCGCCTCTGTCGTTTAGTAGACGAAGGCAGGTTCTTGGAAAATCTTTCAGCCGTCGACATGTGAAGTCCTTAACAGTCAGATCTCAGGTGTTTTAAAAATACAGTGTCCGCTCTGGCCTACCTTCACACTGCTTCTTTTTACTACTGTTAGCTCATGACACAATTCTGTACTTAGAACCATTTCGTGGTTTTTGCCAAATCCGCGTTGAATTTTCTTCTCAGAAATAATTCCTCGAATTGCCGATGTCACCCTTCCGATCCCATGAATGTAACCTGCCCTGGCCGTAAACTTGTCCTTATGACTTGCCCCCATGAAGCAAACCATGCTGTAGAAGCGCCGAACCAACACGCGGTCCAGATCCGGACACAGTAGGCGTTGTCATGGGTGCGGCTCCTTAACAACTGAAGTACATGGCGGGAGAGGGATGTGGTGGCACGCCCAGGCACAGGCTCATACCGCGACAGCCACCTCCCGCCTCCGGTTTTCGTGACTGGAACCTGACTCAGGCGGGTGAGGAGGAGAAGAGCGCGCGGGGTGGACGCCGTCAAAATGGACGCTTGAACTGTCGTCGATGGCTTAAAGTTCTCAGCTCAAGGTTCATCAGTGGTGAGGTGTGAGAACGCAACCGCCTGCTCCACTTCTGCCCGACTATTCGTGTTTGGGGACTTTGCTTTTCGTAGCTTTGGAAGTCACTCGATCCCCTGGGTGCAATTTTGGCAAGGAGTACTTATGTGGCCTCCAACATTGGGACGGGAACGCCCCACCCAAGTAATAAAAGTGGCTTTGCGCGTAATTACACGTAGGGTAAATATGCCCATATCCCAACCCTTACACGAACCGTCCCATAGCTCAAATGTTAACTCTTGCCCTGCAGTCAACACTAATCTAAGCCTGAACTCCCCCCTAACCCACCTTAGCGCTAGCCTTTGTTCCAGCCTCAAACATAACTATAAACTTAACTCCAGCCCTAAGTCGGCTGTACTGTGGGCAGTTCCTATTCTCATGTCCCGTTTAGGTGGCTATATAATAGTCGATACTGTAATTTCTTCTTGTTCAATGACTTTCATTGCGCCCCTCAGTCGGGTGAAGGCGCCTTAGGCAGAAAGCTACCCGCATACACGTACATTTCTATTTTTATATTTAAATTCACTCTTCCACGAGAGTCATACAGCAATGACAGATGTAGTACTGCAGGACTGCCCTTTTTAATCGTAACTTACCACTGAGGAATGAATCAGACCCTGGAAAATGGGCTCGCAGTTGAAACGCTTTTTCTTCTTCTTCTTCTTCTTCTCCTCAATCAAGAGGGATTCTTTTGGTAGGGGCGTTCATCGATCGTTCTTACGGAACTCACTTGTTCCGTTGTGCCTTACGGGCTCTCCCTCGAGCCCAACCAGCAGTCGCACAGCGGCGCATGATATAGGCAGAATGGCATTACCGACAAAGACAAGGGGGACTGGAATAGCCGTTTCTGGCTTATCAGCCGTCGTCAGCCAGTCATACCCAACCCCGAAGTATGGAACACGCGAGACTCGAACTCGCGACCTGTTTTGTTAGAAGTCCACGCCTCTAACCACTGGGATTGTTTTACTGTCGACTCTTGCTTTACATATATAGTAGGTGACGTGTCTCGTCAATCGTTAACCGAGATTGTGAAGTGTGATTTCGGTTAGAAAAGTTGACGTAGCCGGCGCCATAGTCTTGATTGCCATGCTGCATAATCACAAGTTAAAGCATGTTCCTTTTTATAAGGGTATCGAAGGTCATTGGAAAGCATGCAACTTAAGTGATCACCATTGCAGCAGAAAACTAGGGACGCACTGACGAGCTGAACACGCCCCCCCCCCCCCTCCTCAACTGTGCCATGTAGCCGCATAATATCGGCGAAGCACGTGTCTGAGGCCGTTATCTAGTACCTGTGTTGTCAATGCGGTAGAATCATACAGCATAGAGTTACGACTAGGGTTACGCCTGAGGTTTAGAATTATGTCGCATGATAGTTCATATTACAGCACCACTTAAGTAATCCTTCGTAATCGAAAACGCATTTCATGAGATCGATCACTCCTTATAGGTCTGGTGTCGTCGTCGGCGTATACAATCTGCTATACCAACTGTCAAGTGGTTAGACTGCGTGTTCCCAGTTCACTAACGCCTCCTGTGCGCAATTCGCGCTTGCATCAGAGAGGCTCAACTTCGACTCGGTAGTACAGCGTCGCACACGTCGGTCACTGTGGTCACCGTAGTCTTAAGTGGTGATTGTAGAACATGAAGTTTATGTGATTAGGGTCCTTGGTACAAGTTTAGTTTACTTATTCTCATCTGGGCTTTGTTGAGTATCCAGTCCACGAGGCAGCGGCGGCTATAAAAATCCATTTAGTGCCAACCCCTCCTTAGCATGTACGGTAGGTGACGTCTCGTGGAACGTTTATTAAGATTCTGAAATCAATTCTCAATCAAGAGGAGTCCTTTTAATGCCAACTCTTGCTCTGCATGTACAGTAGGTGAACGTGTCCCGTCAAACGTTAACCGAGATTGTGAAGTGTGCTTTTGATTAGGACAGTTTACTTAGACAGAGCCATAGTCTTGTTTATCATGCTGTAAAATCTCAAGTTAAAGCATATTCGTATTTATAAGGGTATCGAAGATCAGTGAAGAGCATGCAACGTGAGTAGTATTTTTTCTGAGTGTGGTTTTGTGGGTTGCCGGAGTGATATGCACTGAAAAGCCGACCTCCCGACATGACTACCAGTGCAACAACAAAAAACTAGGGACTCGCTGACGAGCCGAACCCCACACCCCCCCCCCCCCCTCAACTGTGCCATGCAGCTGCAGGATATCGACGAAGCACGCGTCTGAGGCTTTTGGCTCGTACCTGTGTCGGGTACTTATTAGGGTTACTATAAAGGTTTGGGTCGGAGTTAAAATGCTGCAATAGCAAGCCCTCCTGGAAATTAGCGCAGGGTCACCTATCTTACGGGGAAGGCGTTCATATGCCTGTGTACTGCACGAGGAAGGGGGGGTGGTGGGGACGATAAAAGTTATCATCATTGTCTCTTGAGCCCAGTCCTTCAGCCAAACCCAAACATCCTCTTGGCCTCTACCCTCAACTTCCTGGCTAGTACCGAAGTCGCCCTTGTCTGCCGTCAATCAATCTGCACTATAAGTCTAGTTCCCACCTGTAGATCTTGTAGCCGCTGAAGTGGCAGATGCTGCACTTGGTTGACGCCTAAGAACTAACATTAAGCACTTATTTGCAGAGACTATGTGAGCTGGGCGCCTGCCTACGCTTCCGATTTTATGCCACCTACCACAGCACAAGACTCATTGGTCTTTTAACAGCCACCATTTACCACCAATTAGGCCGATTTAAATTCCACGTTTTTGTTCCTTTTCCCACAGCTGGTCGTGTGACTCCGGAACTCACACAGTTGATGAATGACGTATGGCTGCCTATTGTTGGCTTCACCAAGGAAATACATGTAAGTTCAACTTCCTGTATCCTTTTCTCACCTACTTTGTGGGGGTGGGCCGATTCAAAGTGGATTATTGCTACGTTATCTTTACTCATTCTCTTTTTTTCAAGCGAGATTTTCATGCCGCAACCCACTGTGATGACCCCATCTCATTTCGCCACCCCCCTCTTAAATTCCCGAAATGAAAAACTCAAATCCGAGTGCTGATAAATATTCGGCGTTTGTATGTTATCCCGCCACCGATAACCTAAACGGGAATACATTCGTGTGTACGTCCCTCTCCCTCCCCGGTCACATACCTGATAGTCAAAACGCCATCGAGTTTCGGGACAAGCATTGTTTTCAACGACTTAGCAGCTTTGATCATCTGATCCTTCGAAAGCCTCTCAGCTGTGATGCGGTGCCATGCGGACACCTCGTTTTTTCCCGTCTGTCCAGCGGAAGAGCTGCAACCCCACCAGGGAGCTATTAACACCGCTCTCCTCGGGGTGCCTTTGATCGCGGCGGATGCATAATTAGCATCAGAATCATCCCTTCGACCGCCGTTGCTGAAACTCAAAGCGTCCATAATCCCGGCAACCGCTCTCGTTTCCACTCCCCCCCTCGTTGATGTCTGGTTTCCTTTTACGACACTCCTCGTCGCTATTGCCTCACAATCCTCAGGTCTATGAGCTCAGCAAAACAAGGTATAACCCGATGAAGGGTTGTATTTGGACGTGTACAACTCATGGCCCAGCCGGCGGATTTGAACCATGCGGGTCGCAGAACGGACGTGACAGTTCGTCCGACACAGGCGACAGGTGTCACACCAGTGCATCAAAGGGGACCCTGTTCAGGCGTCGTTGCCGACAACGTCCACCGTGGGCTTCGCAGCACAGGAGGGTGACTTGCGCGTGATTTAGTGAAGGGGGACTTGCACAGCATCTACCGCACTCTCCCCTTCTCCCCCACCTGGACTCGGTGTCAAGACAGATTCAAAAAGACCGGAGGCAGGTGAGGGCGCAGGTGGATGGCGCGGTCGAACCCACACATTGGCGTTCCACCACACCCCCTGGTCCACCCAACAAATGACCAGGTTTTTGACCGGCAGTAACAATGGGGGAGGGGGGGGGGTAAGTGACGGCAGGGGTCCCAGTGTGCACGACGTATGCCGGCAACCGAATCTGCCACCACATCCCGGAATGTTGCCATTTGTTATGGTGTGCAAATCTGATAACGCCTGTCAGAATCCGATATGGCCCCCCCCGTGTTGGTCAGGCGCATCTACCACATGGCTCGTTTTGGGGGGCGGCTAGTGACTTGTGCGTGAATTTGTTTGTAATGAAGATGACTTGCGCCAGAGTCTGCCTCATGCATTCCTTTCGCGGCAACCGTGCCCACCCAATGTCAACTCAGAGGGTTTGAGTGCAGCGGTTGACGAACCTCAGTAGTCCGCCTACCCGTGCCTTGCACGGACTGTTCCCTAGTCGCCGCATGGGCCGGACATCAGGGGGGTGGGCGATCTCAGATTCCACCCACGTGCTAATTGCCGTCAAGACCACACTGAGGTGTGAAGACTGACTGCGATCGAGTTATAACGTCATCGGACAGTGCTCCCGACAACAACTGCCAACCCTCTCGAGATTGCTTAGAAGCACAATAGATCCAGGCCGGATCCATGTTTCCTCCATTTCCTTTCGGCGAGGCAGGCACGCTAGTCTGAACATCACAACAACTACAACACTGCGATAACGGAGTTGCCCTTTTTGCTTTGTCACTTCCTGCACGATCAGATGCGTGTACTTTTTTTAAGGTCACCGCGCGCGCGCGTGTGCGGCATGATCACGAGGGCGGGTTTGCGTTTGCAACCCCGTCGGTCCGCGATCACGACGACCTTTCAGGGACGCAGTCTGTCGAACTTTAGACCAGCAGCGGCAGCACTTTGCGCCGAGGCAAGGACATACTTTACGTCACAGGTTCATCGTTGTCTAACAGCCTACCTGCGGCGAGGCGCCCTGTTGGCTATTTCTTTTTTAATCTCTGGGACGGGCATCCGGTTCTGCCAGTCATTACCGGTTGCATGTGTTCGTCGTTGATAATCCTGATCGAGTTTCGGCCCACTTGTCCTCGTGCCCTTTGTCCCAACTTCCTCACCAAACCCAGGTCCCCTGTCTAACCATAAACGCGTAAATCAGGACGGCGGCTGGGGGCTCTTGATGTCGATGGTTGTGTGCTACTCGCGCGTACTTCGTGCAGTCTTTCATTGTGGTCTTCAGGTTTGCGGTAGGTTTGTAGCGGCCGAGGACGTAAAGGGTAGCACACACACTAAGGTAGCGAACCACTGGGAAGAGATCCTGACTGAGATCGATCTGGATGGAGTTCTCAGCATGTCGCGATACTCATGTGCACGTAAGGGAAAAAATAACGTAAAGTAGACGGTAAGGTATAATGGAAAGAGATAGGAATTTGAAATGCGTATAATAATGTTTAATTGTACAAGTAGGATGAGTTACAGCAATGGAGTAACCTGTCTGGATGGAGAGACGACTCTGACATGCCAGCTAAACAAACGGTGGGGAACGCAGCGCTGTGGGCAACTGCAGGGAAGGGCCGAGGGAGGTGCTGACGTAGAGAGAGGGAGAGAGAGATGTGAGCGTAACGGTAAGTTGCGGGAAAGGGGGTCGGCGGTAGTAAGAGGGACACCAGCCATCTTCACCAACACGCAGTTACGCCATCACCACCGCAGGTCTATGCGCCAAAAGTGTCCCTTCATTCCATCAACTCCATACCAGTGGTGGGCCGTTACAGGTTGACCTCCGCTCCCTTGTCGATTGCTGAATAGTCTCCAGCTGCCAGGCACCGATGACTCAGCAGCCTCCACATGCTCAGTTGCGAGGAGTGAGGACCAGCAGACCGCATGTTTTCGGTAGTTATGACCTACTATATTATTTCATTCAGAGTCATGAAGAGGGTGTTTCTCAACGTCGATTTGCAGTTAACTCAGGAAAAAAATACAGGAACGTACATCCGACAAAATGCTTACAAAATCAGTCGTTTTTTTGACACGTCCAGTTGTTTAGTTTTTTTTGAGCGCGCATGACTTTTATATACTCAACGGTTTTTCGAACCGTACCTTTGCCTGCGCTATGATGCGTGCTGTGGCGGGTCTACAGGTCGACACCTCGGTCCCCACTCCGTTTGACGCCCAGATGTCATCTGTGGCTCCACACACCTAAGCGGCGCGGCCACACCCTGTAACCGAGTCGAATTGCTGGCGTCACTAGATGAGGGTGACAGCTGCACCTGTAAGACCTACTGTCGTGATGGTAGTGCACTTATTTCTCTCGAGTGTTGCTCAGCCGGGGACCAAGTCTACGCAACTGCCTGAAGCAACGCCGTCGTCCCCTGCGTCGTTGATTCCATGTGGTAGCTGGTACCACACGACAGTCCAACCGTCGAGTTGGACGATGTCCACCGTGTGCTCCCCAGCAAGGCGGAGCAGGGACGGTGACTTGCGCGTGAATTAGTTTAAAGTGATAGTAAACTTGCGCAGCATCTACCGTACTCTCTCTTCCCCATTCCCCACCTGGACCCGATGTCAAGACAAAGTCAAGAAGACCGGAGGTGGGGGGAGGGCGCAGGTGGCTGGCACGGCCAGAGTCGCACCTAGGCGTGCCACCCACCTGGTCCACACAGCAAATGACGAGGATTTTTCGCCAACCACGACAACACCCCTGCAGGGGTCAGAGCGACGAGGATGATGACTGGGCAGCCCTGCTCACCACCTGTGTACCAGCGGGAGCGCAAGCGCTTCTACCGTCGTCGACTTTGGTGCTGCGGGAGAGGGTGCCACCCAGCTACGTGAGGTTGTCCACCACTTGCGGTTGGGTTCCGTTCAGGCTGATTTGCGGCGCATTGTGGGCGCTGTTGGCAGCGGGTACCAGTAAGTCAGAGAACTGGCACACCCGGCCACACCCGGCTGATCCATCCAATAGGCCAGTAAATCGTATCCAGGTGGACGGTGATACAGAACAGGCCGTGGACTATTCTTCACAAATCTACCTCTCGAAACCTGTAAAGTCTTGCACTGTGCTAGGGTGGTGCCGTGACAGGCTGTCTGGTCGTCTTGACAGCGAACTACGCCCACTCGCTCCCCCCCTCCCCCACTTCCAGCTGCCCGGATTGGGACGAATAGTTGAGGGCGTGGGGGGGGGGCAAGTCAGTTTCATCACCGAAGCGAATTCCTCGGGCTGCGCACGTCTGTTCCTGTCGGCTGAGAAAACTGAATGCGTGTGGCACACGAGAGAGAGAGAGACAGAACGGAGTGCGTGGCTATCCACCGCCACCCTGCTCTTATCTGCAGTTGGATGGACTCACTGGCGGAGCGCGAGTAGAGAATGAACCCCGTCCTGCGTCATCTTTCGTTATTGCCGTAGGCAATTAACTCATTTGGACGCAAATGCAAATCAGTAGAGGTTGGGTGGGGTTATACTGCGCTCTGCCAAGTCCTACTTTAAAAGCAAAACAGCGAATAGTTGCACTCAAAAGTTCATAGAAGCACACAGACCTTTTTTTCTAGCATAGAAGCCAGGAGTACGGAAGTTGAGACGTCTTCCTGCTCGTACTTGTAAGTTCCGAAAAAAATATGATAGTTATCTATCTCCCGAGTAACAGTTTTTAACGTAAAATGAAACTGGGACCAGGATGAAGGCGAGCAGTCATTAGCACCCCCCCCCCTGGTCAGCACCGGAATCAAGGTCACCAGAGGCCGTTAATCACCCGTTAACACGACCTGGCCGCTCCATCAAATCCACATTTGTTTCAGTATTGCAAGAGTTATGCAGATGCCGGTCTCTTCCAGGACTTGCATGCGCGGAACTTGCACTCACCGCTCTGCCTGTGCTATCTACCATTGACAGCCTAGGGGAAAGCAGGTCATTCGCCGTGGTTGGTTTTGTTAGAACATCCAGCTCTCCGTTCTACAGACAAGCCGTGTCATGACTACGGTCTCGTACCTCTTCGGTTTGGTGTTGATGAGAATTTCTGGGCGATTTTATACGGAAGGTTAAAGCCGGTCAAAGGCGTTGGGGTTGCAATTTTGTCTAAGGTAGGAGAATTGATAAACTGGGCGCTGACGATGATCGTGGATCCTACCTATCGGTCACGATTGAGGCCACTTGATGCATGACAGACGGTGTCCTGTGTG